AGCGAGCAGATCAGGGCAATAATGCTGATTTCAGTGATGCTCTCTGGGGCAGGAGCAGCTGAGCTCCTGAGTTCAGTTCCTGCCCAAGGTCTGACCCCAAAATGATCCCCTCCTCTCCACTGCTGATCACCTCAACATTTGCATTCACTGACCTGCAGAGAATCAAACTCCTTTTTAAGCCCCAAGACCTGCCCTTCCAGCCACAACTGATCACCACTTTTTTTAAGACAAGATCTTCATTCTCTCTCCCAGAGATCACCTCAGATTTAACCCCTAAACTTTTCTCTTCCTGCACACCTCTGATTAACTCATTTTTACCTCCAAAGGTTCATTTTCTATCCTTGAGATTTTCTCAAGTTTTACCCCCAAAGCTTTCCTTACCTGCCCAGTGCTGATGGCCTCAGTTTACCTCTCACTGGTCATTCTCTCCCCTACAAATAACATTCAGTTTTACCCCCACAATTTTCCTTCCTCTAAATTTCCGATTTTAGCTTTGTTAACCCATAACTGGGGACACAGGGGGGGCCCTTTGATCTCAGGGCCTTTCTGATCCTCTCCAGGCGGAAGTTGCAAATCCCAAGGCAGAAAGAGGAAATCTATCAGCCAAAGGCAGAGGAAAGGCTTCAGAAAACATTTCTGCAACCTAACTGAGAATGATTTCCAGTTTCCCAGGGAGAAGAACAGGAACTCACAGCCAATAATGCCTGACAGTCCCCTGCAGCCACAGCTCAGCTCACGGACAGACTGGCAATTCCACCATCTAAAAGGAAACAAGAACAAGGAAATGGTGATTTATTTGGCTTTAAAGTTATTTTCAGTTCTTAAAACGGAAGCAACACTTGCTTTGGAATTTTGTTGGGTCAACAATTGGCAGTGGGCACAGGCCAGGCCATTAATGCTGTGATGCTCTCTGGGGCATCAGGGCTGGAGCCTCTTGCCTGTGGCTGCTCACACCCCAAAGATTTGGCAGAACTGCTCCCAGTTCAATGCTTTGTCCTGTCCTGAAAGAGAGCAGAGGGAAATTCAGTGCTCTGTGGAAGTCAAAGGCTCCTGGCTCTCACCCTGCTGTTCCCATGGCTCCCCAGAGGGTTTATCCCCAAACACGAGGGGTGGCAGTGCAATAGCCCAGCAGAGGCCCCCATTTCAGGGGCACCATTTCCCCCCCCACAGGGGGTCCCACCCGCGGCGCCCCCTCCCCACCCCGGGCCGTGTCCCGCAGTGCCTGCCCCGCAGTCTCCGCCTGGCGGACACGGCCGGTACTGCAGCCCCGACAGCGCCGCCGCCTGCAAAGGACCCCCCGCGCCCCCCGGGGCAGCTCCACAGCCCCCCCTGCCCTCTCTGCCGCACAGCCCCCGCCCCGGGACGCTCCTGAAACAGCAGGGACAGGGCTCAGCCTCGCTGCAGCCACGGGACAAAGCAGCAACCCAAGGGAGACCCCAAAATGATCCCCTCCTCTCCACTGCTGACAACCTCAATCTACCTCCAAAGACTCAGTCTCTACCCACCAGATCATCCCGAAGCTTAATACCCTAAATTTTCTATTCCTGTCCACCCCTGCTCACCTCAATATTTGCATTCACTGCCTGGAGAGAATCAAACTCCACTTTAAGCCCCCAAAGCTGCCCTTCCAGCCACACCCTTTCCGGCCCACACCCTCCTTTTATGGGCACAGCCCCGCCCCACACCATCCTTTTATGGGTGTAGCCCCGCCCCACATCCTTCTTTTATGGGCGTAGCCCCGCCCCGCACCCTCTATTTACGGGCATAGCCCCGCCCCACATGCGCCTTTTTCGGGCATATCCCCACCCTTCATTTACCTTTTATGGCCATGGGCACGCCCCGACACTCCTTGTACGGACAAGTCCCTGCCCCTAGGCTCCTTTCATGGCGGCGCCCACCGCCCGTTCACCCGCCCCGCATTCCAGGTAGGATCGGGCACTCCCGGCCGGGGGGAGCGCTCCGGTAACAGTCCGCGGGCATTTTAAGCCGGACACTTGCAGGTTTCGTCGTGCAGAAACCCCCATTCTTTTTGGAACCTCTTGCTCCAGCCTTTTTCCCTGTGGGAAGAGGTGAATTAGTCTTTCTAACGCCCCGATGGCCAGAGGTGGGGGAAAAACTATCAGCATTCCCTAAACACCTCGAGCACTTCCATATCTGTAATAAACTATATTTTAAAGGGGATTTTTTTTTGTTAAGCTTAGTAAAACTTCAGGACATTGATATGTGATTTCCGTGTGTATTTCCCACATAGCTGTTAACTGCTTCTAACAAGCTGCCGTTTGTTTCCGAGGCTGATAAGGAAGGGGGGAGGGAAGTCTGGCAATGTAATTAACTACACAAGCTGGAGACACCGAGAAGCTTCCTCTAAACAAGGAGTCAAAGTGATTTATATAGACGACAAGACTGGAAGGGGAGGAAAAATACCTATTAAAGGCGCATGCTCCAAGCCGGGTTCATCTTGCGGACATCGAGGAAGACTAAAAATCTTCATCACAGAGACCCCGGCCCACAAAGAAACCCCCAGACCACGGACGCCGGTAACACAGCCCAGGAACATGCATGGGGAAAACTTTGCAACTGAGCATGTGCAAAAAGCACATGCCCCGGACCATGTATGGATAAGAACCTATGTACTGAGCATGTCTGGACGGCGAACCGGGGGGTTCAAAAGGGGAAGTTTGAGAGCCTGAGGGGGGGCGGCGGCGGCGAGCTGTGAGAGAACTTTCTTTTGTTCTAAACAGCACCCCCCCTCCCGGCGCGCCGATTGTTTATCTACCGCTTACTAATAAATTTGCTTACTATTGTAAATTGGCTCCTTCAATTTCTTTGAGGCATTGCTGGTAACCGATAACACAACACACATCCTCCATCACAAAACAAGCCCGTTCGGCTCGGGGGGGAGGGGGGGGGACGCGTTTGAAGCGCCGGGCTCCCAACCCCAGGCTGCGCGGCGCCGAGGGCGGACAGCTCCTCCTTCACGGGCGGCACCGCCCACGTTAGGGCGGGCGGCAAAGCCGCGGTCACGTGAGTTCCGGGCAGGGCGCGGGCTGGGCTGGAGCGGGCTGGGTTTGTTTCCCTTCCTTCTCCGGCTTCCCGGGAAGGCGCTGTGCCAAAGCAGGAATGGCGTTCGCCCGCAGAGCATGGGGCCAGGACGCCTCCAGCCACCCCGCGCTTGGCGCGGGGCCCACTGTGAGCCCGTTCCTCAGCCTCCTGCTCTCCATCTCCGCGGGGCTGTCCGAGGCCGAGCTCGACTCCATGAAGTTCCTCTGCCACGACAAGATCACGAAGAGGAGGCGCGAGTCTGTGCGGAGCGGCAGGGAGCTCTTCGAGATCCTGGTGGAGCAGCAGCACATTGCCAGCGACAACCTGGACTTCCTTAAGAAGCTGCTCGAGAACATCCGCAGGGGCGATTTGGTGTCACAGCTGGAGCAGTTCGAGGAGGAAGGAGGGCTTGGTGCTCCTGGTGATCAACCAGATGAGCAGGAAAAACGTAGGTGGATTATAATATATATGTATAAAATATTATACCTATATCTAATATTTTATCTAGATAATATTTTTATATATGTATAATTATATCAACCCCAGTAAATGTGAATGCAAACGGCTTTCCGGGGTGGAAAGTATATCCAGTATTTCATGTATAGCTAAGTACATCCAAGTATTTCAGAACGTGCTGTGACTCTCAGTACGTGCACTGCACCAACAGGAGTAGCATTTTGCTAAAAAAAAAAAAAAAAAACCAAACCCAAACGCCAAATTTTAAACATTTTCTTGTATTTATTAGTAAATCCATGGCTAACTTGATGTATTTCTGCTGTTTCAGGTCTTCTCAAGGTAGCTAATGATGTCATATGTGAGAACGTTGGGAGGGACTGGAAAAAGCTACTGCGAGAACTTGGCATGCCAGAAGTGAAACTGGACAGAATAGAGGCAGACTATCAATTTAAATTGTATGAGCAGCTTGTCCAGGGACTTCGGGAGTGGCAGAGATGGAAGGGAAAAGATGCAAAGGTGGCTGACTTAATAAAAGCTCTTCGGGGCTGTCACCTGAATTTGGTGGCAGACTTAGTTGAAGAGAAGATCTCACAGCTGAACACTGGAGCCAGATGAAATCAATATCAAAACACTTCCATGCCCCTCAGATACAGATGAAAAAAGCAAAAGTGCCACCTTCTCTTCTGGACCAAAATACTTATCACTGGTTGCTTATTATGCCATTAGTTTAGGTGCCTTAGTAAATTCATTTCTGGTCACAGGAAAATTAACATGAAAACAGATTCTTTTCAGGTGACACATTGTAGCATGATGTTTTAGCTTTAAGATCTTTTAGCTTTTAGAAGACCTGAGCACCATTTTGTAGAAATTCTCACACTTTTATTCTGCCACCCACCTGAAAATATTTGCTTTACTGCAGGTGCTTTTTGATACATCTTGTCTGGAAGTACATCCATGGGACACTTCTGATGCAATTGCGATTTAAAATTTCATGGGGAGGTTGGATTTTTTTTTTTCTTATTATAAACGTAATGTGAAAGGGAGAAAGAGTGTCTTAGCTGTGTACTGGGCTTTCCTTCTGAGAAGCATAATATAATTTGCCAAATGCATTTGCTCTCTATCAAAGGACACTAAGATGACTGTAACCTCAGACCCCAAGACTGCAGTGCAAGAGGGATATTAAATGTTGTGGTGGCTTTTTCTTGGTAAAAATATGCCCAGGTTTGAAAATGAACTGGTTGAAATCAGTACTAAGTGTCTTCATCATCCTGAAGGAAATGTTCTCCTGAAACTACCAAAGTTCTGTGTCTCTCAGATGTTTACAGCAGCCTATTTTGAAAACCGTGCCTACTTTAACATCCTTTGCTAGGATTTCTTTCCTAACCTCTGTCACAGAGGCTGCTCATGGTTGCTGGAAGGTGCAGCTCAGCTCTTGGTGTACTGTGTCAAATACCTAGAAAACAAACTGTTTGGAGGGGTGTGAATAATTCTATATCACAGACTTTTTTCTGGCAATATCCTGTGAAGATCAACTGTCTTTGGCCAGATCGCATAGCTCTTCCAAGTCCTCTGCCATTTTTTTAGTTCGTTTTCATTGCTTGACATTTTCTTAAAGTCATTGTAAGCAACTCACAGGGGGAAGAGGATTTATGAACAAGACCAAATTCAGTTCTCAGGTTTAATCTGGGACAGACTTCACTAAATAGCCTTCACACCTGACGTAAGGCTGGAAAATTTGTACAAGCTTCAAGACATGCAGAGCTAAAGAGGCCTCTGGGGACCATCTCCTGTGCCAGGAGGGAGAGTCGTCTGAAATTGTTATTGCTTGAATGATTGTAGGATTGTTTGCTACTGCAAACATCCTCCAAACTGCCTGAATAGATATTTGAAGAGGCTTCTTTTCTGCTACTGTACCTGTGTGACTTTTAGCTCCTTTCTAGTTCTTTTCACGTGGTGCAATGACTGTGAAGACCAGGTGTCAGCATGTGACAGGTCACTGCTCTGCAGAAATGTTGTGACAATGATAATTTTCAAGTTTTTGTTACAGTTGGTGCCTCTTGCTTAAGCAGTGACTCTTGAATACTTAATTGTAGTTAAGGAAAACTACTGTGAGTTCACATGACAGAAAAACATTTCATTGTGTTGACATTTTCATTTTGTTTTCATCAAACGTTTTCATTGTGTTTTTTCCTTAAATGATTTTTTCCCCCATTCCTGCAAGTGTTGAAGGCCGGGTGGGATGGAACTTGGAGCAACCTGGTCTAGAGGAAGGTGTCCCTGCCCATGGCAGGGGGTCGAATGGGATGACCTTGAAGTTCCCTTGCAACACAAACCATTCCATGATTCTGTGGTGATTCTCAGTATCTTCCTAGCTGTGGTATATTAAGTATCGGTGATTGTATCCAAGCATAGGGTAGTCTAGGAGTTTCCACCTGTCTGCATTTTGGGCCTCAGTTCTCCAAGTACTGATTCTAATACTTGTATCTGTTGCCAATTCTAGACTCCCAGGAGGAGATACAGTGCTGTGCTTCATCTGAATGACCAACTCAGATGTTTTGGGGTTTTTTGGCTTAATAGACACAGCATTCATTCTGCAGTACTACAGGAAATGATTGCTTCAGACTTTTTTCCTTCTCTGAGCACTCATTGTGAGCAGAGCGGAGAAATAAAGTGAACAAGATGAGTGGTGTGTGTGGTGAAACAGCTCTGCAACAGTTCCAACTTCAATCTCTCTGGTAACATGTTTTTCTTACCCATTTTTAATAAGTCTTCTGATTCATAGAAGAGAGACTGATCTGGAATATGAAAAGTATACTGACTACTGCATAGAACAAGATATTTTAGGAATCGATCAGATTAATTTGTTAGTTGTAGCCAAACACTCATCAGCAACAAGAAATATTCTGCCTCAGAAGATAAAAACTTATTGTTTTGGTAAGGATTTGTACTTCATTAATGTTTTACTGCATATGAAAGCAATGACCTAGACTGCATTAATCTGTGCAGTACCTCAGGGCAAATTAAAACTGGTTTTATTAGAGATTAAAATGTTTATATGAGAACAGAGTCAAATGAAAAAAGGGAACAAAACCTTTTTTACTGGGAGGAGGGATGAGGAAAACGGGTGCAATTTGTAAGGAAATGTTTTCTGATCCAGTTACCAATCTTATTTTCAAATTAAGCACCTTGAATTCATACATAGTTTTTATAGCTTGAATTGAAGCTTTATATTGTATAATTTTGTGTACATTTCATTAACAATACTTCCTTAAAAAAAACAAATGGAACTGTTTTGTTATTTTATGGGATTGCTGTCTGTGATGAGATACCTAATTGGGAGGAGATAAATGTTAAGGACACTTACAAACAAGGAGCAGTGCTAAACAGGCATTATGTTACCCATGTCATCTCGGGATATTAAAGAAGAAAAAGCAAAATGCTTTGTCACTGAATTTCTCGTAAGTGCTGAACAGGCTGCAGTTTTCCTCAGAGCAATAGCATTTAAATGCTATCACTCAGAGTAGTGTAAGAAGAAAAAGATTCTCTGCCAGCCCTTGGGAGCCTAAAATTGAATGGCAATGCAATGTGTGCATGGGAAATGCTGGTAAGGGTGGTGTATTTGTTTTATAATTCATTAAAAGCATAGATTCTGGTTTATTCTGTTGGTCTAGGATTTTAGGGGATGTGTTCAACTGTTAAATTAATAGAGTCTTTGGTGTTCTGTGGATTTTATCCTGGCACTGAAGTGTCAGCCTGCACTTAGAGATGTGAATGACTACAACAAATAACTTAATTACCCACTTTATCCAATCCTTTAGGATGCTCTGCAACAGTACCTGTTGCAGGTACCTGTGAGGAATTACTAAAACTTTTCCCTTTTGGTTTCTTGAGGGGTCTTGTTTCCTTACAGCCTTGAGAAAACAACATCAAAACATGTGGAGAGTTTAATTGTCTATGCAAAAAGCTTAGTCACACTGTCCCCAAGCTCTCTCAACATGTTTAATTCAGGCTTTTTGGTTGCATATGTTTCAATCCAAACTTAATTCTAATCACTGTCTTGTGCCTTTCTCATTCCCTGCATGAATCACCTATGTCCTTAAAATGTCTTCCAGCACAAATATTTTTCTAAGTTGCTTTCCCTCTTTGATTTATTGCTTCTTTTCTCTGCCAGTGTTTTGATTGGAGGGGTGCTCTGGTAGATTTATAGAAAGTAGTTCACTATATACTATAAAACCAGGAATTATGGGGGTGAGCTGAGGGGTAGGGGGAGGAGTTGTGAGTAAAGATTCAAGAACTTTTGAAGAATCTTTGTTTTCGTAAAACTTGTAGCTGAGGGTTGCTTCGTGTGAAGAGGGTGTGTTGCAATGGGTAGTGGGAATTGTAGGTTTGGAGACTAGGAAGCCCAGTCTGACTCATCTGCCGGGAAAGCCAGAGGAATTCAGGCTTCTGCATGGGAATCTGCATGGAGTAAACTTGGAAGAACTCTTAATCATTAAATAGTCTCATCCACAAAACTATTTATGCTACTGATTCATTCCTAAGAGCATTACACATGCCTTTCTTAAAGCAGGCTAAAGTTAAACCAGTAGGTTTGCTCTTGTAAAATATGATGAAACATAAATATTTGAAACACCTGAAGTTGGTCATCCTGATGGAGTTAAATTCAGTAATTCCTGTGATCTGACAGTTTCGGAAATTGAAAACTTTTTCATTTTTTTCCAAATGTTCTTGTCTGGATAGCAACTTAGATTCCCTTTCTTTTAATTTTTGGAAGAAAAGGGTTGTGCTGTGTTTTGGGCTGGTCACAGTATTTACAGCAGCTTTCAAAGCAGGCAGCTCTTGTAGCAAACTGAAAGTTTATCTATGCACTTTCTAAGACTCTGAAGAGATTTGTATATAAAAAATAACAAAGATGTCTTGAGTCTTACATCTCTGGAACAATGTAGTAAATGTAATTGCTAAGGAAAGCAGCTTAATCTCTGTCTAATGCTTCAAAAAGTTGTCAAATTGGGATTTTATTTATTTCAGAGCAGGTTCTTTTGCTGTGGGAAGTTACACAGGGATAAAATTGGACTGTTGTCATTAAGGATGTAAAAAACATCCACCTGGGATTTTCTGTGGCAGGTGTTTTATTTACAGATGAGCCTGGCTTTATAGAACTTCTACATAAAGCAATAATCTTGCCATTAAAAATGCTCATGATCTTTTTAATGCAAAATTTTCCATTTCTTAATTCTGTTATTCCTATTGATCCCACCAGGAGTTTTAACTTCAGAAAATGATTTGCAAAATTTAATCAGTGAGCACTTCTTACTGGGGTCTTAAAAGGGTTGTAACAGCTATTCTGCAAGTGTACACACTGTCTGTGGTAAAGATTTGTCCAAAGGATATATAAAGATTGAATTTATCTACAAAAACTGGTGATTTTTGTATGCAAACCTGGTACCAGCTTTTATAAGCTGTGAGAAAGGTTTAGCATAAAAATTTAACTATAAAATTTTCCAATCATGCCAATATGTGAACAATGGAGCTAAATCTTATCTTTGTCTCCCTACCAGTGGTCTCCCTGAGAGGTGCTTCTTGTCATTTCCAGGCATACTGCCAAATTTTGAAAGGAAAAAATTGCAGAGAAAACATGAATTTAAAGGGTGCAGCACCTGGCAGGTCTGGGATCCACATCCTATATTGTTTAATTTATGTTCTGCTCAGTGTAAGCAGAATTTAGTCATAACTTCTTGGCTGTCAAGTCCCTAACATGGGAAAGCCTGGAGAGCCTGAATTCCCCCCAAAGCCATTATTCCCGTGGCAACCAGAGTGCACAGCAGCCAAATAATGTTTGGAAGCTGTCACTAATTGTGAGATTTGCCTCAGTCTCCGGTCAGTGACCATGTCAGGAATCCAAGATCCGAGTCCAGGGATGTAAAATGAAATTTCTTGAGGAATTCTCTCCTTTCAGTTCTATTGCCCACTGGAATAAGGTGTGTAAGAGAGCAGGGCTGGACACTGAGAAATTTACTTTTTGTTTCTTCTAACCACCAGTTTAGCATATGGTGCTTCCATTTCTGTATCCAGCTTGAATGGTAAAATTCAAGTGTGTTACTGCATGTTTGTGCATGAAGGAGCTAATATATATGTGGATGAATTAAAATTAATTAGAGCTAAAACCAACAAAGTGTACATTTCTAGCAAGGGCTACTTGCAGCTAAGTAAGTTATTCATTGTGGACCTGCTCATATAATTTTCTATAAACCATGTTCTCCTTTTTACAAAAGAAAAAATTAAATACCAGTTTCATGCTGAAGAACTAATGTCTCCATACAGTGTGTGTGAATCTTTAAATCAAAAGATCAAATTCCACATCTGGGCCTGTGAATTTTAAGGGATATTAAATATTGGGCTGTATCTTAGAGGACTGTATTTATAAGGCACTTCACTCCATGAAGTATATTTTCCCCTTAATTCCTAGAACTTCATAGTTAGCAGCACTACAGCCCGGACTCACTCTGAGTTTTTATTTGTGCAACTAAATGAGAAAGAACTTAGACCTGAGCAAGAGGCACCCACTTATCATGGCTTTGATTGTAAAAGTAATTCTGTGGTTGGGATCCTCATTTTCCACTCTACATTCAGTACACAAATCAAATGCTGGGGTACAAAGTTGCCCAAGGTGCTTGCCCAAGGTCCCAAATAATCTTTGAGCTCCTTGGCTTGTGCTCCCTACAACCACTGTGGGTTATTAAAAGCATCTGGAGCATGGCATTAGGTAGATTCTCTCCCTAGGAGTATCTCCTCCTTTAGCCTCATTTGGCTTAAAGTGGGAAAGGATGTGGGAATTCTCATCAGAGAGGTAAATCCTCAGGTCTAGAATTTCCTCATTCTTCAGTATTCATTTCCACTAGATAAGATACTGAGCAGTATGAAAGGACCAGATCATTTCGCAGCTTGAAAGCCAAAGGCAGATTCCACTTCTGTGAATTAAGTTTTGCTGAAGTGTCCAGACCAAGTCTCAGGGAAGATGCCATCACACAGAGAGCTGATATACTTAACCAAATTTAATGTCATTCAACACCTCTGAAAATCCAGAGCCTACTTTCACACATAATGTAATGCCCTTGTTTATGCATTTGCTAGGTTAGCATTTTTACTGTTTTATAGGATATTATTATTAAGGATACTTGAATTTAGGTTGAACTGATTTTTTTAGAGGTGATTGCTTTAATAATGGATGATTCCAACAGGCTTGAGCCATGTCTTCTGCCAGGAGAGGCCTCAGCAGCAAGTCTGATGTCTATTGCTCAGGTCTGAGTTGTGGGCAGCTCAGTTTGTTTTGTGAGGGCTGAGAAGTTCCCACAGGCTAATTCAGAGGAATTATAGAGGGAATTATGGAGAAATTAGATCTCAGTTTCTTGTACTGAAACGGTACCTGAAGTGCCCCATAGGCTTGTCCCATTTTCTCCTTTAAAATGTTACTTTCATCCCTTATCTCCTTCCCACAAACTAATCGCCCGACTCACTATTAAATGCTGAGTAATTATAACACACAAGCCTGAGGGAAGACAAACTCTCATTTTCTTGATGGTTTGAAGAGGACTTTGAGAGCTCTTGAATCATCCCTAGTTATCCAGACAGCCTGTTCCAGTGGGTTTTAATGCATTCAAATAGGATACAACAACCTCAGCCATGGAAAAACCGGGCATGGATGGAATTGCCATGGTGCCTGTCAGCAGGTCGGGGAGTATCCTGTTTTTTGAAACATTATCATGTCAGATGTTACAGCAGCAGTAGCAGCTTCCTGGTTTGTTGGGGTTTTTTTCCATGTGAAGAGAAGTAACAGGGAGCTGCTGGCCAAAGACTGCTGCCAGCTTCTCTCGTTATTTTGGTACTACAAAGGTGGCATTATTAAAGGCAGACCAAACTGAACCCTAGGAGCTGAAAAACCCTTCCTTTGTGCACTTGGAAACCCAGTTAAGAGCTAACTGGTGTCTCTGTATGGGAGGTTTTCTGCAGCACTTTGGCTGCAGGCTGAGACAGGTATGAGATGCCGTTTCCATAAGCACTGAAAATTGGGAATCAAGAACCATCCTCATTGCTCCTAGTGGACATCCTCACCTTTCTGCAGAACATTGCTGAATTTTGTACCTAAAAATTTAAATGGGCACTGTAGATTTTGGCTGGCATAAAATTTGATGATTCTGTTTGCAGCAAAATTCTGGCACTGCAGAACTTTTCATTGTATGACTCATACTGAATATTCCCCTTATTAACTGAATATCCACAGCTGTGTAGCATAAATGCTGAATCTTTATGCAAGGAAACATTACTGTTGTATATAGCTTCAAGATATATTAAAATCAAACTGGTGCCTTGTTATTTTGGTGAAAGTAAACTGTACATTTAATTACAGGAGAGAAAGAAAGTATTGGACATGAAAATTATGTGCCTCCCAAATCCTGATATGCTTGTGTATGTGTATATATACATACCTGTGTGTGTGTACAGTGAGTGCATCCATATGCTTACATACACACACACCTTGATATAATCTGGAAAACAAGACTTTCCTGACAGGGCTATTTCTCAATATTTCTTCTCAAACTTAAGCATATCACTCACCTGCTGAATACTACCTATGTAATGAAATATATCACTGTGGCAATCTCCTAGTTTTGTTAGAAACAAAGGTGGTATTTCTGGCTCAAAACTAATTCAGAGCCAGCTGCTGAATCTCCAAGATCAGCCAGAGCAGAAGTGATTTTAAGCCATTGTTTTATTCATATAGATTTAAATGCAAGAATTGGCTTAATTCCTGGTTTACATTAGAGCAGTTCCTGTAATTTTCAGCAACCTGTGATGCTGAAATTAACCTTCTGTTCTCTTCCATGTTACTTCTGCTTTTGCCCGCAGCAACTGTAGACACAAAGGAAATTATTTAACTGTGCAGCTTAGAAATTATATACCTGAAAAAGGGAATGGAATAATCCTTTTTCGTTCTGCAGGTGCTTTTATGGGACATTTAAATGATTACAGCAGAAGGCAGGTGAGTCCCTGCCACTTCAGTCTTTGGCTTCACGGGTAAAAAGTACAAAGAAGGAATTAATGCCAAGTTTCTGGATGGCTTTTGTGGCAAGGGCATCAGTTCACTAGACTGAAACTGCCAAATTACTCTCACTTTGGCCAGACTGAATATTTCACCTTTGGGCATGAAGAAATGTTAATGATTCCTGGAAGTCTTAGGCATTGTTATTTAAAGTTGGTCAAGAGACAAAGGGAAGGTGTAAGTTTATTTGGATTTGTGAGGGGATGTGACCTGTGTTTGGAGCACTGAATGATTGAGTGTGGCAAGAAAGGAAACAGTGACAGATGTTCCTGTGGCTCTTTGCTCAAAAGTGTAAGTGTGTTGTGGGAACTCAGCTCCCAGGTCTGAGCTAGAACCCGTTCCTGAGTCAATATTTATGTTGACTCTTTTCAGTGTGAATTACAATGCAAACATGACCTAGTCAAAGGGACTTCAATATGAACTGTGCTCAGGAGAACGGGGAATTTAGCTTTGAAATAAATCATTTGCCTTGTTTTTTATGGCACTGATGAACAATATCAGGTCTGCTGGTTTTTTTTATGTTATGAGTTATTCCCTTTTATATCTTACACGTGTTACTGTCACTTCATTTAAGGATTAACTTTAGACCATGACAAGGTTTTTTTCAGCTGTTGTCCACCTTCCTAGAAATAAGGATTTCTTAACCAAGAACAGGGAGAGGACCATCTTTCATACCTTTTTCTCCTGGTTTGGGGTGTTTGGTTGGTTGGTTGGTTTGGGGTTTTTTCTTTTTTTTTTTCAGAGATATGTGCCATGTAATCTTACTTTCAGCAGCTAGATTATAAATTATTTTTTATTTAGTAACTGCCAGCCTTAATGAATTGTAGTTTGACAAAGGCTGTGTAAAGACCTCCGTACAAAGGAAAAAGGCATTCAGGCCTTGGGAAAAGGGGAAAAGAACACTTGAGTGACTAAGAGTATTATCTGGCACAGCACAGGGGCAAACCTTTTTGTTGGTAGCTGAGTCAAAAGACTACACATGGAGACCTTAATGGCAGCTGAGCTCCAAACCTCAGGTGGAGATAAAGACATTCCTGTAGGATGCCTGAACTTGGAGTGACCCACAGGGATGGGGTCAAGCAGCACAACCTGCATATGAACAGACATATGAAGTCTGATTCCAGTTAGAATTCGCAGTATGAGCTGGGGTGTTTGTGCTTAGCTTCAGTTTCCAATGTAAGTCCTGCTCAGTAGTAGATACGTGAATCTGGACAGCTCTTGCTATTTGTTTTCTGAAAGGGGATGCAGAGATTGACCACTTCGGTTGTATAACTGACCAATTGCTATTGAAGTTCAGGAGCATTAGGTATTCCCTCTGGAAGATGTAAGCATTGTACATGTTGATTAGTAACATTGATGGAGGAGACTTTACTAAAGTATACTGCCTTTTCAGCAAAGGTATGCTGTGCATGTTGATTGCACTGGATACCCTAAACTTTTAATTCCATGGGCATTTATCTGTTTTTAAATATTTCATGTGCTCTCTGACCATAAGTTTTACAGAGACGATTTCTGTGTAAAGGGAAGGTAAATTTGGCCAGATTTGTAACAGACATTCTGCCCATGGCAAGCCAAGAAAGGACATGAGGCCTCATTGTGTTTTTATTCATTGTTAAAAAAGAATCTTCGATAAGAACTTAGGCACCCGAAACACATTAATCTCAAAACCAGGATATCTTAGAAGCACTAAAATTATAATTTCAGACAGGAACCCTGAAACTGCCTCACTTTAAGGGCAATTTGAGTCCAACAGTAGGGATAACCCATACACAACGCAAAGGCAGCTCCCATTCCTGTTGACTTTGGAGAGGGTGCTACTGGCACCCTGCCCTCTCCGTGAGGCACTCCTGGATTTCCCCTTAACTCACATCTCACCTGGGTTGTGTGCTGCATGCTCTGGGTTTATACATTTGCAAGGAATTTTTCTCTAAGTCATGGTGTTTCTTCAAAAGCCAAGGATGAGACCACTGGCAGCTTTTACATGTTGACAGGCATGAGGGAGCTTTCAGTTGTATAATTATATTTGCTAGTGGCACATCAGAGCAGAGCAAACTTTGTGGTGCAGCTACAATGCTGAAGGGTAAGGACACATCAATACAGAAGCAAGCGTGGGGAAGGAATTTATTTTAAAAGAAGCCCCACTTACTGTATTTCCATTATTTTTCTTAATATTTATTTCAAGTTGACTTGAGCACTGTTCCCAAAAGTTTTGGGTTTTCCCTCTGGCAAACGCAGGGCCGCTTTTTCTAAAGCATTTTCTGTTTTCCCTGAAGGTTTTCTTCTGACTCTGACTGCTTTTAAATGTCACTCTGCTGCTTAAGGCTCCTGATAGGTGGTCTCAGCTGAATGTTTACTATCATATGGCTTATACCTCTACTTATTTTCCATGTTACATTGTGACCTAGTAACCTTCTTCTCCAAATGCCAAAGGTGAAATTTAGTTTTAAATGGCTTGGTTGCCTAGGCAGAATTGCTATTAATCAGAACAGGAAATATTACCGGGAAATGAACTTTGATAGCAATTTAAAGCACTGTATCTATTGGCAGACTATTTCACCTGAGCCTTAGGTTTACTTTGAAACTGTTTTGTGTGAAACACATTGTTGCCATTGCAAGTGTTCATAGTTTTAAAAATTTTTATTTGCTGCAATTTGTTTTATGACTTCATTTTGAGACCATGTTGGTTTTCAGTCACCGTCTCAGCCAATTCATTTCATCAAATTAATATTTTCAGTGAATACCGTGAAGACAGTGAGGAGTTCTAAAATGGTGAAAATAAACATTTAACTCATACATAAACTGGTGATTCACTGAAAGTGTTATTTACATTTTCATTTGCCTATAAGGTGAAGTTGGTTGCACAGAAAAATCATGTTGCCTTGTTTGCACACTTAGGATTTGGGACTAATACCTTCCTAATGTTACACAATACAATGTGCCACTGAATAATAAAGGCACTGATTGCTGCATACAATTTTGTGCAAGTAATGAAAGATATGTTATCACTTGAAATCTGATCAGTTAAGAATTAAAAATAGGCTTAAGTGCTATTTGAGATTGTCGTGGTTTTGCCCACCAGCCAACCCTTGGGGCTGAGGATGGTTTTGTCCAGGTGGATTTCTGGAGAAAAACAGTCAATCAAAAGTTTAGTAACACCTCTGCCAATGACATTTTTTAAAAAATGGAAGAGAATCCTGTGGTGCAGTTGAAATTAGGAGCAGTAGCCATGTAGGAGTGGTGGCAGGCCCCAAGGAGGGCCAGGGCCCCCTCCTCCCCTGGCCCTGGGCCGGGGACAGGCACTGAAGCCCCCCTTCTCTCCTGTAATAAAGTAGAGAAGAAAAACTTTAGAGAAGGACTGAGTGCTCGGATGTAAAATGCTGCAGAAGAATTCCAGGCAGAGATAATGAAGTATTCAAGGCCAAAGCTGGCAGCTGCAGGAGAGAGAAGTTCGAAGGGGAGGGTTGCTTTTCCCCCCTCTCTCGCTCGCTCTCTCTCCCTTCAGCAGGGAAAAGACTGAAAAATAAAACCCTGCCACTTGTGGAAGTTTGTTGGGGTGAGGAGACCCCCATGCTGCTTGTGGAGGAGCCTACACTGGAGTAAGTTGATACACGAGAAGGCTGAGACTTTATGGGAGACCTGAGGTGAAACAGAGTCCTGCTGGAGGCTTGTAGGCCATGGACAGAGACTTACGCCGGAGCAGAACGGCTCGGGTAAGATGTTGGGATCCGAGTGAGGGATCCATGCTGGTGCTGGAGATTTGTGACCCTGAGAGAGACGAGACCTACACTGGAGCAAGAATGGCTCAGGTAGGATGTTTGGATCCAAGTGAGGGGTCCATGTCGGAGAGGTCTATCAAGGATTGTTCTCCCGTGGGAAGGGATCCCATAGGAAACAGGGGTGGACTCAAAAACCCATTATCCCCTGTGACCCTGTGGTGAAGATCCATGGTAGTCAAGTGTCCCCTTGCAGTCCATGGAAGAGAAGACCTTCAGGGCCTGGATAGCCCCTAGCCTCCAGTCTCAGCCCAGGAGGGGGTAGGCCCAGCCCTGAGGCCGACATACAAGAGAGAGAGATAGAGTTCCAGCTGCAACGAAAAGGAGTTGTCATCCTGGAGAATAACAGAAGAAGAGCTTTAGAGTGCTGCAGAGTTACTGAAAACACTGGAGCTCCAAAAATGGAGAGACTGCTTCTCCTCCTTGAACTGATACAAAGGGCGGGAGGAGTATTTCTGTAAATATATAGTACTTTTACCTAATTAGAATTATTGTAGATTTAGTTCTTTAGTTTTTGTCTTGCTCCCTAATATTATTCTCCCAAATCAGGTCTCTTTTGTCTGCATAAACATTCTCTCAATTTATAGTAATTGTGTGGAGGGGTGAGAAAAATTGACCCAGAGCAAAACCACAACAGAGATCTCTTTATTTTTTAAATGCTTTTATGTATTTTATTACAGGATGAAGGACTAATAATAGAGGATCCTGAGTATATAGAAATCACAGGCCACTTTGCTTAGTGTCTACTTGAAACAGTAGAAGCCTTTGCATAGCAGATAAAGAGGAAAAAAAAAACCTGTTTTTTTCCTTCAAACTCTGATTTACAGAAACAGAAGTATTACTACACATGCAAATAATTTTTACTGTAGTCAGACTATTTATAAAGTTTACTACATACATTATTAAAATAATACAATCTCTCAATTTTATATTTCTCTTACCAGGTCTCAAAACACTCTGAAAGATGAAGCCTCAATTTTGACGTGATCCACCTAGAAACCAATTCCTGTTCTCTCTTGGAGTCTCGTGAAGTAAACAGGTAAAAGGCTCAATGTCTGTAGAGCTCACTCTGGGATCAGTGTGTGTGAGGAAAGGAAGAATATATTTTTTGAATAAAATATAACATCATTCTTTTTTCTTGGTATGAAGACAGGCTGAGAGAGCTGGGGGTGTTCATCCTGGAGAAGAGAAGGCTCCAGGGAGACCTTAGAGCCCCTTCCAATGTCTAGAGGGCTCCAAGAGAGCTGGTGAGGGACTTTTCACAAAGGCATGGGTTGATAGGATGACGGAAATGGCCTTAAGTTGAAGGAGGGTGGGTTTAGATTAGACATAAGAAATAAACTCTTTAAGGGTGGAATAGGTTGCTCAGAGAGGTTGTGGGCTCCCCCATCCCTGGACACATTTAAGGCCTGGCTGGAATGGGGCTCTGAGCAACCTGGTCAAGTGGAAAGTGTCCCTGCCCACGGAATGAGTGATCTTTAAAATCCCTTTCAACCCCAACCATTCTATGCTTCTGGGATTGTCTATCCTGAGATATTGCCATGGCTCTGGAGCTCTGAGGCTCAAGCCTTGAAAATGGAGTAATTTAATTGCAGACTAGTGAAAATTAACACAGCAGACAAACCGTGGGCTGCTAAATCTCCAGCAGTAACAGCCATGCTTAATCCTATGGACACTCACATCCATTTTTCCTACAAACAAGCTGTGCTGATCTCACATGTACTCAGCAACCAAATTCATCTCACACTGGGTTAGGCATCCAACCTCGGCTCCCAAGGCAAGAGAGTCCAGCTGCCCTGGGCTCCCTCTGGAGTCAATGAGAAGAGACAAGCATCTTGAGCAGGTGATTCATGGACCACACCAAAGATCTGCATCACTCCCATGGAATGACTCCCTCACTCCACTGATTACAGAGGAAACTAAGGATAAAGGGGTTCATGATGTAGGTGCTCAGCCAGGTGGAATGTATCCAAACCAGTTCTAGTTGGGTAGGAGCAGCATTATCACAGCTGTTTCTGAATCCTTGACTTCAGTTTCTTCTTCCAATATTATTCACAACTCTAGAGAGCCCCTGGTGGTCTAGTGGTAAAGGCGCGGCGCTGTCACCGCCGAGGCGCGGGTTCGATTCCCGGTCAGGGCCACTCCCGGGCAGGTGGAGCTCGTTAGCCCTTAAATAGGCAATCCATCTACGTCCTAAGGACCTCGCTGCCACCGTCCAAGCTTGCTTGGCCCCGGCAGATGAACCTTAGGATTAAAGGGTGGGCTCAGTTCCGCGCACACTGTGTCTCACCTAAAAAATCCAATGCGCAGGCTGGAAGGTGTAAAGACCTTCCCCGGATCTTCGCTCGCGAAGACTGGCCATTATTCACAACTACATCACATGAATGTGGCCTTGCCTAAAAGTTTTTCTTTTTTTTCAATATGCAACTCTATTGCCCTGAATTTACAACTGAAAGCACTCTTAGGTCAGTATCTTTCATGATAGTTATAAACTATTTGAAGATGTGCTAAAATCAGTCTACACTAAGTGAATGTACTACATTTGTATTAGATATCATGGGTATATTTCACTTCACATTGAAATAAATGATACTTGGCTTTAGAAATCCTTTCTAGCTCAAGGGGATTTCTGCTGCTGTAAATCCATACAAAAAAAAAGTCAAGAGCTGCAATAATTCTGAACTGCAAATTGCACAACTGAACCTGAAACTAAGCTGAAAATCTTTTCGAGTTCAGTAGATTTGGACTTGAGTGGGTATACGTGGTTTTGGTTGCAGGAATAGCAGCTGAATTTAAAAAATACTTATGGTCTCAAGATAGGTAGGATTCCCATTAAAATAAATTGTGTAAGTTCATCTGGTCAACTCCAGTTTTGTGTGTGCTTTGTGGAGATTTTTCTTCCAATCAGAGGGAGTAAATCCAACTCAAAAACCCTCTTAAATTTCAGAGCAGCCAATTCTGATTTGATTTACACCTGCCTAAATCCAACACACATCCATGTAGAGCCATATTATATAAATAAAATGTCAGTCTTAAGAACTGTGTCAAGGCCCTGTTTCTAGAAGTCACGGCTTCTACTGCCAAAGGGCTGACACATTTACCAGTGCACTTATCTTTATACATGGGCATCACCATTAATTACCTCTGCCCTCTTCTCTATAGGCCACCTTCCAGCCTCTTCCCCTTTCATTCCTTCCCCCTCAGGCAAAGTATCTCCTCTGTCTAGCAACCTCTGGAGACGATCGTTACAGTAACAGAATGGTCCAGGTCACATTTATCTACTGACAAAAGGATAATCAGTGCTGTTGGCAAAAGCCCTGTTCTTTCATCTATTCATTTTGGTATGAAATGTGTTCAAAATGCATTTTGCTACTAGGTCATTAAGTCATCTGTAAAGGACAAGGAGTAAATAAGGTACCATCTGCTCAACTCAGAGGGGAAAAAAAAAATGCGTAGGCACTCTTGGACTATTTTCAGTGGAGGTTTTGTGCTCGAGCAGGGTGGCTTTGAGGCTCACAAAGGAAACCTCAACACAAATGAAGCATAAAGAACTCAGTGGGTAGAGAAAGCAGTGGGGGAAGCAAACAGAGAAGTGCTTTGCTCCTTCACATTTTGGGGGGCAGCTCTTCCTTGCTGGTGGCAGCAGGTGTTTATCCTCAGAGCTGCCGGACCCTGACATCTCACTCTGCAGCTCTCGCTGGCAGGAAGAGGTTGCTGTTTTGCTGAGCTTACATAAGCATTAGGATCTAATTTATCATGTGACAGGGAAGCAAAACCTTTCCCCTTGCCCCCCATCCCATTTTTAACAGCCTTTGTTTGAATTTCATCAGGTGGTTTTGAGGTGCGAGGAGTGGGGAGATATTTAACCTGGGTCTCTGAACTGATTATTCTGCTGCCAGCTGATGTACGTATGGCTCTTTCTAGACACAACTCCAAGTGTTACATCTCACTAAATGACATGGACAGGGAGCCAGACCTCTTGCTGAACTTACAAAAGAGACATCACACTCATTTAATTAAAAAGATCTGAGCTGCTGGTGCTCTTCATGTCATATGGTATATCCCATATTACGTGGCCAGGAGGAAGATAAAAAAAGGACACTCTTTTCCTTGTCCTACACAGTAAATAGGAATGCTGAGAAATATTTTTGTACTTGCACAACCTGGGAGTTCTCTTACCTTCATTATTTCATGTGTATTAAGTACAGAGCATTATGCAAAGATCTGATTGTTCAGTTTCATGGCATTCCAAGTCCTGGCCCTACACTGATTCACTCTCAGTTATTGTGGACTGTACACAGTGCACAAAGGATAGAAATATGGCTTCAAAAATCAGATCTTTCAGATATTTTTGGGGTGCCTCAGAAGTTCTGTTGTACCCATGGTCTGGGCTTTGTGTATAGCATTCACAGATCAAGGTGCCTAAGGAAAGTATTTGCACTATGTCATGTGGGAGGCATATTCCTTAACTAGGATATTCTGGATTAAAGTTGCCTCCTGGCCTAAGCCATCCTTTTGGGCATGAATGAATACTTAGCTCTTTACACATGAGGAGACAGTGCCTCCTTTCCATATAGGAGACAGTTATATGCATGGGAACTCTGCTCCCACCTGAGGCTGAAACCCAGTTCTCAAGAAAGTGCCTGACCATGGGCATTTCCGTCCCTCCTCTGAAACTTGTGTACCAAGCAATACATGATTTAAAGCTGACAAAGGTGACAACTCCTTGAGGCTAAAAAGGGTCTACAGCTAAAACTTCTTAGATGGGAAATCCAACAACAGCTGAGCAAGCTGAATGTGAGTGTCTATGCCTTGTTAACATGCTGGTTGAAGTGAAAATTAATAAATGGAGTTCATTCATATGAATTCTCCATTTCAGAATTGTGTGATAGGTTCTTTCATGCTTTCATAATGAAGTATGATTATAGCATGGTACAAATCTTCATTTTTGCTTTTAACATTTAAGGACAATCCAAAACTTAGTTTCAGAAGAAAAACAACCACATTCCAAGTCATCCCAAACTGAGAGAAAATGTAATGACATCTTTCAGGATCTAGGTGAATACTGATCACTAATTTATTTTCAGTAAATCTGAATGAATATAATGCAGTGTCCAATTTGATAGAGATTATAAATTCTGCGCCTGTTACAGTGTTTAACCTCTTGCCCTTTTATTCCCAAATTCTCCATTTGACTCATGTTAAACACAAATCAAATCAGGCCAGATTCTGAATTCACTGAAGCAACTGCAGTGTGGAAACATTGGCTGAGATAAAGTCCTGTGGTTCTATCAGTGGAAAAATTTTGCTTTTCTCACAACAAAAAAGCCTAAGAAACACCTAATTGTAATCTTTGGATGGTAGCTTATTTTAGCATACTTTAATGGTTAGGCCTGCACATTTTATTTAACATGTCATCACTCAATAGATCAGGCACAACAGTTCATCTCCGGGTCTCCATTTGGAGAATGATCAAAAATTAGCATTTCTTCATACACTTTTACCAGCTTGTCTGTAAAATATGTTTTTCCTCCTCGTTTCCTGTATAAAGAATACAGTCATTGATGAATTGCATGTTGGGTTATGGGAGGCAATTTTTTGATACAGGTAAAGACAGCATTTGGGCCAGTGAAACAAAAGCATCTATTTGTAGAAATGCACTTAAAAATAAAGAGCTGATTACATTCAAGGTAATCTTCATGTCCTCATTTTAAGCATAAATTTTTATTGACCCCAGAAATATGTTGCTGTGCTTCATAAGCCTGGAATCTGCTTATAGTTGTGCATTAATACCAATTTTGTGAAAGAAATCCTCAGTGTGAGTTAAATCTTAAGGAGCAGGTTGAAGTAGAGGACCTTTCTTCCTCCCCTCTCATGATCATTTTAAGTAGTTTATTTTAAAGTTGAAGCTTAGGTTTCTGAATATAACTATATATTTGTATATATCTATCAAAGCTTATAGACAAAAGCATTTAGCTATATTATTAGACAATGCAGATTAGTTCATGACAATTCATACAATTTTGGAATATATTTGCCACTCTATACTGAAAAGTCAGATCACAGTATTTATAAAATTATACCTAAATGGTGATTTACCCAGCATTTAATCTGTGCTAACCAGTATTTGGCAGAACTCATGTTTTTAATGTACCTCACCACAATTGGCTTTTTCCATAAAGTTCCATCTTCCAGAGTCATGCGATTACATCAGAAACTTCAGGAGGAAAAAAAAAAAATCTAGACTTCATGGCTGTAGAGGGAAAGCTTAAAAAAATGTGACCTGAATTCACTCAAAAGCCTCAGATACCAAAGGGAAACAGCACAATGTAGTAAATTTGTAATTGTAAAGAATGCCATGTTTGAGAGAAGGAAGAATGACTCATTAATGATCCTTTCTGTCCAGTGCTAGGTGTCAATATGTTGTGTTTACAAATTAATCCATGTCATCCAGTCATAAATCTGCAGGAACTGCGGTTTTTTGGCATAACACGCCTTTCTCTGCGTAAGTGGTCCTTGATTTCAGAGCTTTCCACTATTAAAGCAACAACAGGGTCCAAAATGCAAATTCATGGTGGTGACACAAATAGAAGAAAGCTTTGCCAACAAACTTCAGCTTCATGCACGTGCATGGTACAGGCTCCAGTAACAGAGTAAAAGCTTCATAAATGCAAGTGGGAAAACATTTTTATGCTGTTTTGGAAATAGTCTGCATGGGAAAAAATAACAGTGCTTTTGCCAATGTAACCAAACCCAGCTTCCTGTGGAGAATAGGCTACGTCAGTGAAGACACCCCTTACTGAGATGTGTTGGGGACCTGGTGGCTCTGCTTCACAGAATCACAGAATCATTTAGGTTGGAAATTACCTCTGAGATCAAGTCCAATCTGTCCCCACCTCGTCAACCAGACTATGGCATTGAGTGCCAGATCCAGTCTTTAGTTAAACACCTCCAGGGATGGTGACTCCACCACCTCCCTGGGCAGCCCGTTCCAATGTTTAATGACCCTTCCCGTGAAGAAATTCTTCCTGATGTCCAACCTAAACCTCTCCTGGTGCAGCTAAAGACCATGTCCTCTTGTCCTGTCACTTGTTCCCTGGGAGACAAACCCCCACCTGCCTACAACTTCCATTCAGGGAGTTGCAGAGAGTCCCCTTTGAGCCTCCTTTTCTCCAGGTTGAGCCTCTCCAGCTCCCTCAACCACTCCTGGTGCTCCAGACCTTTCCCCAGCTTCATTCCCTTCTCTGGACTCGCTCCAGCCCCTCAATGTCCTTCCTGAATTGAGGGGCCCAGAACTGGACACAGGACTCACTGAAGTGATGGGAGTGACTTGAACATGCGGGAGTGGACTGATTGACAGCAGGCTGAACATGAGCCAGCAGTGTGCCCAGGTGGCCAAAAAGGCCAATGGCACCTGGCCTGTATCAGGAATAGTGTGGCCAGCAGGAGCAGGGAAGTGATTCTTCCCCTGTACTCAGCACTGGTGAGGCTGCAACTTAAGTGCTGTGTCCAGTTCTGGGCCTCTCAATTTAGGAAGGATGTTGAGGTGCTGGAGTGAGTCCAGAGAAGGGCAACGAGGCTGGTGAAGGATCTGGAGCACAAGTCCTACGAGGAGTGGCTGAGGGAGCTGGGGTGGTTTAGCCTGGAGAAGAGGAGGCTCAGGGGAGACTCATCACTCTCTGCAACTCTCTGAAAGGAGGTTGGAGCCAGGTAAGGGTCGGTGTCTTCCACTACTCAACCAGCAGTAGCACAAAAGGACACAAGTTTCACTGGAGGAGGTTTAGGCTGGACATTAGGAAGAATTTCTTCACAGGAATGACTGGGCATTGGAACGGGCTGCCCAGGGAGGTGGTGGAGTCACCACCCCTGTAGGTGTTTAAGGAAAGACTGGATGTGGCACTTGGTGCCATGGTCTGGTTGACAAGGTAGTGTTGGGTCATAGGTTGGACTTGATGACCCCAGAGGTCTTTTCCAACCAGTTGATTCTGTGATTCTGAGCAGGGCAGAGCGCACAGGCCAAGGCCGAGAGGGCACAGTGAGGCAACGGGAGCGGGTTAGGACAATGGGACCCATCCCCGGCTTCCCCTCTGTAATAAGTAGTAGTAGTTAAATTTACTCATCAAATTAGTAATAGTAGTTTACTCATTAAATTGTAGTGCATGTTATATTCTTATATATATATGTTATTATAATCACTGTTCTGTTACGGTTAGGAGACTCTAAGTTGTAGAATAGTTCATTCATCTATCAGCATTGTAAACTGATAAGCATGCAGCTTGCAGTTTTTAAGCTAGAAAGACAAACTATTGTACCTTGTTAAGTAAATGTTTTTGTATCTTATTTTTCTAAAAAGCTTATTGTCTCCCAACACGCATAAAGTAACAAAAGGAAAGACAAGGATGGAAGGGTCAGGAACTGAAACGATACAGAGTATCCAAGACGGACAGCTGGAGATGCCTGTACAGGTCTAGGGTCTGATTGGAACTATGGAGGAGAAAGCACCTGGCAACTGAGACGAGCCCGCAGAAAAGCCAACGAGAACCAGACCTGCAAGCTCGGATCCAATAGGGGGACAAAAGTAACAATGGGAGGGGAATTGATAAGGGAATAAAAGTTACTGGTTTTGCCTACTGCGCTTGCGCGCCGCGAGTGGAGCAGGAGTCTCCCCGGCCGCCCGGCATGCTGTTTTGGTTTTGCTTATTTGCCTTTTCTATAAATCTTCAATAAATTTTTATTACTATATTTCAACTCAGTTTCAATTGACTTATAACGCCTCTGATCGCGGAGCTGCGGCGGGAGGTCCGTCTGCCCGGGCCCTGCCGCGACACGCAGGTCTCCGCCACGGGCTGCGACTGCGGGGCGACTCTGGCACACGCCGCGCTGAGTCCTCCAGCCCTGCCCTCTTCCCATCCCTCAGCAAGCCCGCCTCCGTCCCCGGACGGGTCCCGTGTACAGCGGGAGCGGGCAGCGCTGGTCTCGAACACGGCTTCTGGAGCGCCGCGAGGGGAGGAGGAGCGGGGGAGGAGCGGGTGCGCCGGGAGCGGCGGGCGGAGGGGGAGGCGGAGGCGGAGGCGGCGCTCGGGGTGGCACCGGTACCGCCACCGCGACCGTAGGGGCTCCGCGGGCTTGTGCCGTCCCGTCAGGGTACCGCCCGGTGCGGGAGAGCCCCTCGCCGGCCGCCACGGGCGCGGCGGGCCGAGCCGGGCCCAGGCCGAGGGGACGCTCCCCCGCCGCTCGGTAGGGACGGGGGGGAGGGAGCGCTCGCCGGGACCTCCGCGCCGGGCTCGCTGCGGGCTGTGCTGGGGCCTCCGGCGGGGAGCGAGGGAGGAGGGAGAGAGGGAGAGAGGAGGAGGGAGGCGCGGCCGGCGCTGCCCGTCGCGGGAGGGGGAGCAGCAGAGCCCCGCCGCCCGCAGCTTTGTTCGCCGGGTCCTCCGACGCTCGTCCCACTCCTCTGCCGCAGTCCGAGCTCTCTCCCGGTTCCTTTCTTTCCCCTCCGCTGGATACCTCGGTGCTGGAGCATCGCCTGCGGGACCGACCCGCAGTGCGGGACTAGGAAACAACAGGTCTTCCCCCCCTCTCTCCTCGCCTTTTTTTCCAAAGTGGCACCGGCGCCTCGCTGTTGGGATTATAAATGTTGGAACTAAGACCCGGGGAACTGGAAGGAGAGCCTCCCGTTGGAATTAACAGGAGAGAAAACAAGGGAGGCTTTTCCAAATCCTCCGCAAGAAAGCCCGTGCTGTTTTTTTTCCCGTGCTGTCCGCACGCTGTTTGATAATGCGATTGTGACCTGAGTGGAATTTATGAACGACGAACTAATTGAAGCTTCTTGCACCGCTGCATCGGACTACATTTTTTTTTATTTCCTCAGCACATGATTCCTCCGTGCCAGCTGTTGCAGGACCTGTGGGCCAGTAATAGAGGGATGGGAAGCTGAGGCCGTTTATTTTCACGTGCTTCTGTTCCGGGGACTTGGCGAGCTGGCTGAAGCTGCTGCTGCTGCTGCTACTTTTTACTGGATCTGCGCTTTCCTCGGCAGGTTTCTTGCTTTTAAAGTGTGTGTAACTGTTTTCCTCGAGGGCTGGATTTAATGATGAAAACAAATCAGTTCTTTTCAATTTTAACTCTCAATACGCTACCCTTGAAGTATTTCAGAATTCTTAGCCTAAAAAAACCCAAAACAAAATTGGTTGAACCTAAATATGCTTGGTGGGAACTTTCAGATATATTGGGGATCTTGGTCCCTGTGTGCTCCCTAAATTCCTTAAAGTGAAGTGACTGTGAAATACCCTGTTAAACTTAAATATTCAAGTTTTCTTTGATTGTTTTGCTTAAGAGTGTATATTTGTCATTTCCATGCATGCATCCTTTGGAATAATTGTGGCTTATATGTGGTGTAAACATCATGCTGGAAACTTATCTCAGATCGCACTGGTTTCCATCCCTGATGTCCTGCACTTTCCTGCACTTTCCCTCTTGTTCTTCTTGTGCTTCTTTCAGCTGCTCAGCTTTGTGAGTGAGTTGTTTGATATTCAGGCTACAGACCAGAACGACAGTAAAACAAAATATTATGTGGAGATTAAAGAGAGAAATTCCACTCATATATTTCGCTCAGAGATGTTCCAAGATGCAACAGTTGCAACTTCCTCTTTCTGTTGCCTGAAGTTACTACTTTAACAGTAGCATTTTAATAGTAGTATTTCACAGTACTGTAATAGTAGTAGGTCCTTTGGTGAATTTAAAATGTTTGGGGCTTTCTTTACAAATCTTTCCATCCTTTGTATGTTTTGTGCCATGTTGTTGCCTGTAATCCGTGTTTCCTTATGTTCTCACAGGTGTTGCATTTCTTGTGGAATAAGGGTTTTTTTCTTGATCAAATTCCCAGAAAATTTACAGTTCGTTGTCTGTAGAGCATCCCTAGTACACATCTTATATTAGCAGACTTCCAGGGATTACCTGTGTTCCTTTCAAGTTTTTCCCCCTAGGTTAAATACTGTATTCCTGACATCTAGCATGTATTGGTTTGTCATGTACTATCTGCAGAACTTATAAATTATGTTGGTAATAACCATGAAGAGAACCTATTCCCTGAAAGTTGTTAGTGTTTCTGGACTGGGATCTTGGAAGTACCCAAGTGTCTGTCAGCTCAGACATCAGAAATGTGCAGGCTTGACAGCCCGGCACCAGTTGATCCAACTTTTGGAAATGGCACCAGTTGATCCAACTTTTGGAAAGCTGTTTATGCTGTGATCTCAAAAATACTAAAGATTGGAGGTCAATTCTGAAGGTTGGTGGAAAAGAAGTGTTCTTGCTTCATGGAGTTTGTGAAAAAAAAACCAAAACCAACCAAAACCTCTGTAGATTGCTGAACAAGAACAAACTTACTCACTCAATGTAGCTTTTTGTTGAGAGTTTTTACTTCTGGCAGCAAGAGAGATGTTTTTGGAATGATGCAGTTGGGTCAGAAAGTGACTTTCTCCAGTAAACAGTTTAGTGTAGCATATGGGTGTTTGCCAGAATGTTCTGATCAACAGGGAATATTTCCCTGGAAAATTCAGCACTCTCTTTTCTGTAAGTGCTCTGAAAGGGCTTGTACCATTCTAGTCAACCCTGAGTTGTGTATTTTTTATTTTGAGCAGAACGGATGATCTCAATCTTCTTAATTACTGAAAAATAATCAGCTTTTAGGATAAGAAGGAAAGTTTTTCCTTTAATTCTTTCTGTACATTCGTCTAAGAGCCCCTGGTGGTCTAGAGGTAAAGACGCCGCGCTATCACCGCGGAGACCCGGGTTCGATTCCCGGTCAGGGCCACTCCCGGGCAGGTGGGGCTCGTTAGCCCTTAAAGGCAACCCACCTACGTCCTAAGGACCTCGCTGCCACCGTCCAAGCTCGCTTGGCCCTGGCAGATGAACCTTAGGATTAAAGGGTGGGCTCAGTTCCGCGCACACTGTGTCTCACCTAAAAAATCCAATGCGCAGGCTGGAAGGTGTAAAGACCTTCCCCGGATCTTCGCTCGCGAAGACTGGCCATTATTTATTATTTTATTATTATTACATTCGTCTAATGCCAAAGAAGAAATGATGAGACAACTTAGAATTTTTGGAGATTATGAGGTGGCAGATAGTTTCTCTCCTGAGCTGCTTGGGGAAATCACAAATTGTCTACCAGTGGAGGTAAGTATTAAAACTAGATAGGACATGTCTTTTGGCAGTGTCAGCTGAAACTAAGGATGTTCAAATGTTCTTTATTAGGCAGCTCACGGGACTCAAAGCAACTATATTTTATCAAAACAAACAGCAGCGGAGGTTATTGTGCAATGCCAGAAATTCATGCCAGTGTGTTAACGCAGCAGTAATATAAATTCCTGGGTGGCTGGTTGTTTTGGGTCATCTGACAAGGGTGATGGTTGGTGTCAGAATTGATATATTTGTGCTACAGTTTATATTTGCACATAAGTATGCAGTGGGATAGAACCCTCTGTGCTACAACCATTTGAAGAGTAAATAGACGTCCTTTCAAGTACACGGCTGGTGAAACTCACACACAACCCTGGAAACTCTCACAGGTGGGATGTTGAAGGTATAGGAAAAGTTTGGATATCAAGGAACAGCTCATAGTTGTTGGAATTAAGTGGAAATGCAGGACCAGCTAGCTCAGTGTTGGGGCAACAGAGCTGAATCAACTTTATTAAAAAATGGAGGGTTTTTATATGGATTGGGGAGGAAGGTTCAGGAACATGGGAGGAGAATAAGAGGAGCATGCTAATCCTCCAACTCGGATTGAGTATAGGGAAATACATAGAGAGAACATACATATGTATGCAGGAGTAGGATAGCAACAGGGTAAGTCAGGTATTGGTCGAGCTGCTGTGGCTCCACGAACTGTCCAATGGCAGCTGACACTAGCTTTTGAGCACCGTGTCCATGGCAACCACTTGCAACATGATGACAACTGAAGCTGCAGCTCGACGACAATATCACACCTAAAAATCACTTCTAATACAGGCTGGTTTAACCACCATAATTATGTTCATTACAATCATAAAAACTACTTCCAACACATAGTAGAGGCAATTTTCCTGTCAGCTCCAGTGAAGCCTGAAGTAGATTTTTCTTGATTTACTTGCACCCAGGACTCTTTTGTAGTTACTTTTTGTGTGTAAAAGTTCCAGTAGCTGGACTTACGTTTTATTTTTTCTCCTAACTGTATTTCCAGACCATTTTGAAATAATTAGGCCTCTTTTTTTTTTTTTTTTTAAGAATGCAAATAAAATACTGCAGTGAAATATTTATGTGTGTAATTGTGAAATGTGGTAGAGAAATCAATTCATTTTTTTAGCAGTTGAAAAAGGAAAATAAATTAAGAATTTTTGCAGTTGTTTGCTGATTAACCAGAGGACTACACTGAAACTTTCTTCCAATAAGCAGAGTTTTATTTAGGAAGAGGGATTATAGGCATGGATTCTACATCTGTGACGGTGGGATTAGTGTCTTTACCCTTTTTAAAAGTCTCACACATGAGTAATTCCAAAGGAGTTCTCTGTAAGTATGTATTGTGCAACAGGTTTTGTCTCTTCAGTCACATCTGTATTTTAGAATAAAGTTTTCCCAGTGAATGTTGGAAATGGCAATCTCCTAGGACTGTGTCTGGCTGCTTTAGCTGCAAGTTAGAATTTGCAGAGTGCAGTGTAATTGGTCGATGTGGCCTTTTGTTGTTAAGCGGGTGCCTCCCGTCACTTTGAATTTTGCTGAACAGCTCCGTCTGAAGCTTTCACTTGACAAGCAGCTACTGTCTGTTAAACAGTATATTTTGCAGAGTTGGAAAAAAATAGAGAAGCAGTCCTTGTGCACGTGGTGTGTTTCTGCTTCGGTGGCCATTTGTGGTGTTCACCTCATCTTGATCATCACCAGTTCAGCTGTACCAATCCATTTCTTATTGAACAAGTCTCTTGCTTATTAGTGTTTTCCTTATTTTAGACAACAAAAAGGACTATTATTTACTAATATGTCAATGTTTTCTTATCAAAGTGCTTCTTAAGTGTTCACTGGCCATTGGAGTGACAGATGCGTATCTATTTTCACATCCTAAGTTGTGTTGGTAACACGTGAGGGTTTTTTCCCATTTCCTACAAGCTTTTTTCTGCAACATGGACTTGTTCACATTCACACCTTTACTTTTTGCACTAATTCTAATTGCCAAGGTGGTTCAGGTTACAATTTAAATTATGCCAGAGTAGGTAGATAGGTAATGTTATGCTCTGTATTTGCTTCTAATTGTGGTGTATAGTTGTACCTTTTATCCTATTCAGAGTGCACTCTGTGAGTTGATAAAACATTTAAATGCCTTTTATGTTGAATATTTTTAGTGAGGCTGTTGATAGAGAGCAGAAGTGGTGTGGGAAGTATTGGCTCTTTCAGATACTGCTACAATCATTTCCTGACAGAAACCCAAAAATGGAGAAAGATACTCTTTAATATTGACTACTCTGTGTTCACTGTAGTAATAAACGTGCAGTAACTGATTGAGGTACCTCGGTTCCTGTTCCCTGATGACACTTCACTCTATACTATTTCACTGTGGTTGAGCTTTGTGTAGTGAGATCATCACTGAATTTGAAGGGTGAGCCTTGTGAGGGCTTTGAGTCCAAGGGCTCGGCTTTGAGACAATTCTGATTCTAATCCTCTGAGATTTCCAGCAGGACTGCAGGGAAATGCTGGAACTGCTTCAGTACTGTTTTGTGAGATTTGAAAGAAGGCGTAAATGAAATTCCAGTATGTAGCTGTATTCTGGTAGATGGCAGGGTTATGCACTGTCTCTCACATTTACATCCTGACTTGAAGTTTGTCATGTTTTCTGATGTCTTTACTGAGCTCTGTTTCATTGCGTCTCCCTCAGCAGTTGTTAAAAAACCCCACAACAAACAAAGCAAACACACAAAAGAAACAGCTCTTTGAAACCGTAAAAAAATGCATTACAAAGATGTTTTTCCCTTTGTTTACCAGGGAAACCCCAACTCAGATAATTGCCTTGAGAGACAAATGAGTTTTCAAAAGTACTGGTCAAACATCTTCTGTTTTCACAAGTGTTTTTTTGTCTTTACAGTTGGTAACGTAAGTTTTAAGTTTGAACTTAAGCATGACTGTAAATTGTATTGGCTTTAGTCATCTGAACGCTTCAGGAAGTTGTCACGTGTTCATACGAATCCACTCTCACTGTATCCTGACATTTCTGTCTGGTTTATTCCAGGAATTTGCAGCACTTACAAAAGAGCTCAATGTATGCAGGGAGCAGCTGCTGGAAAGGGAAGAAATCGCTGAACTGAAAGCAGAAAGAAATAATACCAGGGTTAGTTCCCTGTCTTCTCCAAGCTTACCACTGTTAAAGAATGGAGGAAAACACTGAATGTTGAATTTGAAAAACTAAAAGTGTTTTTTTCCCCAATAGTTGCACGTGACTCCCCGTGGAAGTGCAAATGTCTGTTGATTAAGAAAGTTTGGAAGCTTATGCACAGCTCCAAATGCTGCTGTGCTGAATCAGGAAAAGCTTGTAAGACTGCAGTGTTTCTGTCATTCAGCTTTCTAGTTGAGGTTTTGTAATCACACAGCTCCTGGGATCAGAGGAGCAGAGCGGGTGGGTTGTAGGGATCTGTTTGAGCAGCTGACGCTGCTAACGCAGCTCAAATGTTAAAAGCAGGTCCTTACTCTTGATACAACGTTCTTTGTCTCTGAGATTTGAAGTTTAGAGCTCAAAACTTAATGTTCTAGGAGGCAGAGTTTTCTGCAGCTTTTCAGCGCAGGAATAAACATTGTTCCTTTTTCTTGCTTTAACTGTTACTGGAACATCTGGAGCATCTTGTCTCCAGGCATGAGCGATCTCTGAGAATGACTGTGGTGAAAAGGCAAGCTCAGTCTCCTGCAGGAGTTTCTAGTGAAGTAGAAGTTCTCAAAGCACTAAAATCTTTATTTGAGCACCATAAAGCCCTTGATGAAAAGGTAATGAAATATTGTGCCTCATCCTGTCCCCTCTTTTGTGGGGGCCATTTTGTGCTAAAGCTGTAGAAACCTCTGAACTGTAACTACATCCAGTACCCGCTCTCCTAAATTAATGTGGAAATAAATCAAGGTGCTGTGGTTGTTTCTAGTATTTCATTAGCTCTGTTAATGTAAACTCAGCGTGGTTCAGGGGCAATATATTTGCTGTAGGATTGCGTACAGTTTCTTACCTCTACAGTATCAGGGTTTAGCCTTTTGATTATGCAATACAAGGAAGAGAGGAATCTGCTTACACTGTGATATGAAGCTGAATTAAAGGAACCCCTCCCTTCAGCTTTGCCTGATATTGGCAGCAGGATATGCAAGTCCTAAAATTGACTGTGAGTTTTGTTGCCAACTCAGTTTACCTGACTTTTGTGACACTTGGATATAAAATCTGGCAAATTACTTTAAGCAGAATTCTTCTTTTTAAACAGAAATACAGAATTAACTCTGTACCTTGCAAAAGAACAAGCAAATTCGGTGTACATTTAATTCTTGCCTAAATTTACAGGTATCTTAAAATACAGTTTGCTTATACCAGAAAGGGAAAACTAGATTTTTTAAGATACACATTATTTGGCTATTTTTTTTGTGTTGTAGTTAGTACTGACTCCAGATTACGCAGGTGTAATGGAATTTATTATCTGAAAGGGCATGGCAATAAATGAAATTGATTTCTTTTTTATTTGAGTGATTTCATATAATTTGAAATTACCTTTTTTAGGTAAGGGAGAGGTTACGAGTAGCACTTGAAAGGTGTAGCTTCTTGGAAGAAGAACTAGGTCCTACACATAAAGAGGTAGGTTTCTGTCTTAAAAGTTACATCTTCGTGTGTGCATTGTGGGCAGTTTAGTCAGTATTTGTACATAGTAATTTACTAAGTTTCACTTTCACTTCTTGCTCTTGGTTTTTTGCCAAATGGAACAAAATTAATTTTTAACTCAGTTACTTTGAAAGCGCAGGAGGGAAAAAAAATAAACCTCAACCCTCTGACACCTCCTGCCCGCAAAAAACCCCAACAAACCCCAAAAAACCCCTAAACAAAACAAAAGAAAAGAAAGAAAACAGTTCATACGGCTTTAAAATAAGAATTTTTGGGTTGCAGTGGCCTGAACTGGGTGCCTGTGCTGTTTCATTAATAAATACCTTGCAGTAGAGTCAGTAATTGCTTTTGCAGCTGTTCATTATATTATTAGCGAGAAAGGAATCGAAACGTGTATGTAAACTTTTCTTTTAGTTAATGATACTGAAAGAGCAAAATAATCAGAAGAAAACACTTCCAGATGGGATGCTGGATATAAATCATGAACAAGAAAATATACTGACTACAAATGGGAAGGTACAGCTATTCACTTTATTTAGTTGACATCTGATTTTTTAATTATTATCTGTAACATTTGAATTTGAAACTATAATAAGATATTTTTGCGTGATCATCTAACTAAAAAGCCTTAGCTACCACAATTTCAATGTTTGCAGTCTATCCAGTAACAAAATTATCTTTGTGGAGGAGTGTTTACAGATGAGTAACAGTTTGTTTTTCAGTCTTATTTACAACATGCAAATACACTTCTTTTTTTCTTGTTAAATAGAGATCCTCTGATGGTTCTTTATGCCACAATGAAAACCTTGCTAAAGTGATTGAACTCCAAGACATCACAGATAAGCAAAACAAGGAGCAGACACAAATGAAAGAACGTCTCACTGCTCTGGCCAGCAGAGTGACAGAGCTGGAAGAAGATCTTGACACAGCCAGAAAAGACTTGATAAAATCTGAAGAAATGAATACAAAGTTACAGAGAGACGTTCGAGAGGTGAGGAGGGAGCTGGCAAAATTTGGGGACTCTCAAATGCAACTGCTTTATTAAATTTTAGTCTTCTTGGTGCTCAGTTGAGCCTTTATGCTTTTGAGTGTCTTTGTATTGACAGATGAGAAGAAAATAGTTCAGGGCATGATCTCTTTTTTTAATATAACAGACGAGTTGCTAAAGAAAATTTGTCTTCACTCTAAATCTGTGACTTAGATATTTCATTAATATATATGGGAGATTTAGCATTGCGAACTTTACCATGTTCTTGAAAAGATGCTTTATCTTGCCATAAAAGCTAAGCTTATTCGTAAAGTTTAAATTTTTTAAAGATGTACATGGAGGAAGAATCACTTTAATTTCAGTGCTGTCGTTGACAGTTCCTGATCAATCACTGATCTCCAAGGTCCCATTTCTTGCAGCGTACTGTAATTAAATAGAAGTTAAATAGGGTGCTTAGTTAAGTCCAAGAACGTTCTCTGACCATCCCCAGCACGTCAAGATTTGCTGTGTTTGTACCATTGAAAAGGTAAGTAGCAGATCTGTGGTGTAAGATAATAAAGATGAGTCTTTTTTTAATCATTCAGTGTTTTAAAAAAGTCATTGAACTTGTAAGCCTAAGTGAGGCTCATCTTTCTACTTTGTTTTATACCAAGAAAAATAACAGAAATGTCGGATTTTTTAATTTCTGTTATTTCTGAGGTTTGCTCCCCAGTTTGATCACAAAATAAATAATTCTCTCTCGTATTCTAAATTCTGCTTTGTGTCTTGCACAGGTTACGGCCCAAAAGGAAGACATGGAAGAGAGAATTACAACTCTTGAGAAACGCTACCTCGCTGCACAACGTGAAGCTACATCTGTGCATGACCTCAATGAGAAACTTGAAAATTAAATTGCCACTAAAGACTCCATGCACAGACAGGTTGGGATTGGAAATAAGATAAAGTGCATTTTGCGCGGCATAAAACTGATGGAAATAATTCATGGTCATACTCTGCTGAAGCACTTTGCTTTTAGGAAGATACACAGCATCTGTAATGGGCTGTTGGTATTGACTGTCTTTCAGTAAATGGAGTTGTACATTGCAGAGTTTTACCCTGGGAATGAAGATGAGGCAGTTTTACTGGGAAGGGGAAATGATTTAGAGAATTTCAGTGCACTTCTTCATGGCTTTTGTCCCTATTAGTTGTGGATTTTTAAGTTGTTATATGTGTATCCAAGCATCTTTAAGTTCACGTGTGAGAATTACCCATTCTAAGCTGAAACCTTTTAAAACTTGCATAATGTGTAGTGATTTTTACAGGCTATAATAGAAGTGAATGTTGCTTTACTGGGAGTGGAAATTTGACATGTGCTTGCCAGGAAAGTCCAACTTTATAAACCAAGTGTACACACTTCAAAAAGAATTGAATTTTGCAATAATATGCACAGTGTTATTTAAAATATGTAGGAATTTGTCCGTTGTCTTAGCACAACCTTGATTAAGAAAATTCACAGCTTGTTCTTTGCCGCTTTACAAATTACTTACCATTTTTAACCCTAAGCATTTTTGATTGTGATCCTGTGCAGAGTGAAGATAAGAACAGGCAATTGCAGGAACGACTGGAACTGGCTGAGCAAAAGCTGCAGCAGACCCTGAGAAAAGCTGAGACTTTGCCAGAGGTGGAAGCTGAGCTGGCCCAGAGAGTTGCAGCACTTACAAAGGTGAGGCCCCTGGACAGTGTCCTCCAGACTCTGCTCTCCATTGGTGTCCCACTGCACAAAATCTGGTCGTAGTGGTGGCTTTGTTACAGTCTGGTTTTCCCACAGACAATTCAGAAAATATTTATCCTTGTTCTCTCTACTTTTTCTGTTCATCTCTCTGAAGATGCCCTTTTTGATTTTTATTTTAATTTTTTTTTTTTTTAATTTTTTCTCTTTGGAACTTGAGCGGGTTTTCTGTTAATTATGTTACATTATGACAACGTCTCTCTGAAGTATTACTTTGGTGTTCTTTATTAAAATCAATTCAGTATTAGGCATAAAGTCTTTCTAAGCATGAACTATTTCTGAAGGGGAAACCCCAAATCCTTCCACTTATAACCAAGTGAAGAGTGTGAGGAGCAAGAGAAGTAATGATACTAATAAATACCAAGGCTTTTAGAGGGCTGCAAGTGAGCTAATGAAGTGTGAAGAATTATGTTTAATAACTACAAGTGAGCCTTTTCAAGTGTGTGTGTATGCTCTCTTTGAAAGTCTTAGTTTCATTTCTTTCCCTGTTATCTTTCCTGTCCCTAACTGGCTCTGTAGTCTGACCTTTTGTCTCCTGGGAGCTCTGCTGCTAAAGATGCAAAAGTGTTGGAACTTACCACCAAGCTTAGGAAGGTAGAATTTGTATCTTAGTCCTTGTTTCTGCTTGCTGCTTTCTGCTTTGTCATGGGTAGTAACACAGAGTCACATCCTCCAAGCTAGTGAGGAAAAGCTGAAAATGCACTTAGTTTGTCTTTGTCTTTTTTTTTTTTTTTTTTTAATTCTTCGGGATATGAATGAACTTCTGCTGTTGCAAGCTCATTTACAAAGAGCAGTGGATTCATGGTGAGAGGTTACCTCATTTTGCTACTCACATATGAACCCTTGCGAGGTTTTTGGTGACAGAAAAGCATCTGTTCTGCATTTTGTGTTACCATAAATGGAAGTTGTGTGAAGCATGTTAGAAATGTTACTGTGCTTCAATGTTTCTGTGCTTTTGAAACCTAAAAATCCACCCAAATTCTAATTTTGCTTTCAAATTGACAGGCTGAGGAGAGACATGGCAACACTGAGGAACGACTGAGGCAGATGGAAGCACAGCTAGAGGAGAAGAATCAAGAGCTGCAAAGGGTATCGTACATAATTTTGACAAGGATATAAAGCTGAAAGAAAGAATCCAATCCCCTTCATGGCTGTAACCATTCAGCAAAGCTGTTTTTGTTTCTCTCTTTAAAAGAAAGGCTGAGCTTGGGCTGGCTGATATTTGGGAGATTTGAGTCACTGTACTATGCCTCACCTTAAATCTCAAGGGAAAGCTGAAAGTCTGCAATGAAAGTTTGAAAATAGAAAATATCTGATTATTATTACTATTCTTATACTCAGTATATATTCATAATAAAATATATTAAATTTGCTACTAATATTTAATAAATAATAATAAATAACTATAATTATATATTATATAAATTATTTATTTATAAATATTTAATATTTAATAAATATAAATATTTATAAATATTTTTATAAATAAAAATTTTATTATATAAAAATAATTAATAAATAATAATAAAATTTGCTATTACTATTCATACTTTCTGATGAAGAGACAGATCAAAAATGTGCTGAATTAAATGACTATAGAAAAATTGGTTCCTGGGTTATAAATAATGGAATTCGTTCTGAATCCGGTTTGTTTGTTTTTTTAATGTAGACTCAGATTTTCAAACTTCTGATTTTGGATCAGTTATTACACTCTGCAGTGTCCCTTATACTCCATCACAGAGTCCTGGAGGTGCATGCAGTATTCCTCTCTGGAAAAAATATTGCTGTTAAAGAAAGCTTACTGCCTTTATAACCTGAAAATTGTTATAGACATTGAAAATTTGAAGTTATTTCAGTAGCTTTTCTGTGTCTTAGGCTAGACAGAGAGAGAAGATGAATGAAGAGCATAATAAACGTTTATCAGAAACTGTTGATAAGCTGCTGTCTGAATCCAATGAAAGGCTCCAGCTTCATCTCAAGGAAAGGATGGCTGCCCTGGAAGATAAGGTAACAAGTCACCTTCCAGCACATACATTAATTAGAATGGTCAGAATTCTGTGATTTGTGCAGTTTGCACACATCTGTAACTTTAGTAAATAAATATGAAATCCTTATTAATAAATAGTTTCTCTTAAGGCTGTTTTTTAATATGGATTTTGAAAATATGTACCAAAAATTCAGTTTTTTTGAGGCTGTCCTTGGGCATTGCACTGCAGTGCTGAGAAGGCATTTTTTAGTTTTCAATAGCTTTATGCTTTTCTAGTTGATTGGTGTGGATTGCCTAAGTAGGCTCATCCAGTGTAATACAGGAAGCCTGAAGAATTAGGACTAGAACTTTGGCCTTTTCAGTTCAGTTTCTTTTGTTTCCCACTGCTCTTGGCTGTACCAGTTCCCCTGAGTCCTTGTGGGATTCTTGCAAGTTAAAACAACCTTGTGTTTTCTTCCCAGGTGGATAATTTTGGGACTCATTATGTGAATGTAACTGGGCTGTTCTGTGCATTGTTAATACACCTCTTGGAACTTTCCCCAGCATTCAACTTTTTACGGTTTTTCTTTCCTTTCTGCTTTTGGATGTAGTTCCTTATGGATTTTTCTTCCATGCCTGCCTTTAAGTTAAATTCCCTTACTCTACGTCCAACAAAGCAAGGTCTTCAAAAGTGGCACTTTGCTTGGTGCTGATTTAGGATTGCTTTGTCTTGGATTAAAAAAATATTTGGTTTCCTTTGTTAGAGAGTGAAATGACCATCTGGGGAAAATGTTTCAGTAAAAACTGTGTGAATTTTTCTTTTAAAGTCAATAAAACGCTTCAATGTGTAGAATGATGTTTTCAGACTTTTACTAAGTGTTTGCTTCCTCTTGCATTTATTTCAACTCAATTCTCATCCCTAAACCAGCAGTCGGGTGTCAGATGACACATCTTTGCATCATTCCAGGACTCTGCTCCTCTCAGATCATTACAGGCATTTAGTTCATTTCTTGCCCTCCTTTTATACTCTCAGAGCTGGGAGGAATTGAGTGGTGCAGAAGGAACGTAGGTCCTACTTTTGTCGTTTGAGTTGATGATAAAGGTGCTTATCTGGCATCTAAGGCTGCAAATTTGCCTTGTGTTTCTTAGTTAACATCACTATTTTCAACATTACCAACTGCTTCAGAAATTCTAGTTATGGGGCATGTTATGATATCAACAGTCGTAACAGTCTTTTTGAATTCAATTTCGAAGAAACAGATGACTGCATTGTTTTTTTGAAATGCTTGCATACTGGGGGTTGTCTTAGGGCTGGCCCAAACTCCCTCCTGTCTTCCATAACTTCTTTCACGAGTAATGAGGAAAATCTACTTGTTCTTTACTCTAAGTAACAGCTTTTAGAGAAGTATTCTTGTGGAGGCTTCCAGCTCATTCTTTTATGATAACTTAGAAAGAAATGTGCAGGTAACATTTTGAGACTTTGTTCCGATAACTTGGTCTTTTTCCCAGAGTGATTTATTTTTCCACATATGAGATTGTAGTTCATCTTAAACATGTAATAAAGGTATTAACAACCTCAAGAAATTGTTAATCAGAACTTTTTGGTTGTGGTAGAAAAGGACAGGAAAGATAGCCAGTTACAAGTTTCCTATCAGCAGGGGGAATCTCTAATTTAAAACAGCTCTGATGTTAAGGAAAGCCCTTAATTCAGTGAGGGTTGCAGTTCTGAAAGTACAGTACATCCAAGAAATTACTGTGTAGGAATTTTTTTAGGTCAAACAAGTGCAAATAGAATGAAAACTTAAGGATAATGGCTGCTAATTCCTCTCAATAACCACTCAGTGAATTACTTTAAATTATTTTAGCTGCCTAATTATTCCTTTTTTTAATTAATTTTTACTAGTCAGATGTTTTCAAATGCAGTTTTAAAAGGTTGCTATTGCTATTAAAAATTTATGGAACCAGTACTATTACTAAATCCGTTATTTACAGGGCTGTACACCTGGAAGGATAAACCTTCAGCTATAATCAAAGTGACAGAATGGAAGCAATAAAGTATCTTTAACTTAAGATGTATAATGTTGACTGAATTATTTTTGATACTCCTCATGGTTATGGTTTAAAAGTGTAAAGCTTTTTATAAGTGACTTAATGTGTGATACCTTTTATTTTAGAATTCACTTCTTCGAGAAATCGAAAATGCAAAAAAACAAATAGAGGAGCTTCAGCATGAAAAGGTACACTCTGCTTCTCTGAAATATTCTGTTGGAGCATCATTGCTGCCTTGCTACATAGCAGGATCAGGTTTTAATTCCCCACAGAACTTAACATTACCTGCTCTGTAAGGGAGCTGATGTTCATTTTATGGTATTGTGTGCCTCGGTTTTGTGAGGCTTTTATAGGTGACACATAAGCTTTTACTCAAAAACTTGGGAATATGTAAAGTGCCTGGATATGTTGGCAATTTGCCCAAGTTTGGGGATTGTGTAGAATTTTTATATTTTCGCGCATATGACCTTGAACAGCAAAAAGAAAAGAGAAATACTTTTAATGTTGGATATTTTCCCATAAGATTTTCTTAAAGTTTGGGATATGAAATGCATTTGCAACTGCAAAAAATTTCCTTTAATTTCTTAGACTTGGCTGCTGCTTTTTAATAGCATCTGTTTGGTGTTGTGCTTGCCCTGGAAATGACAAGTTTTCTGTCGCTGAATAAGTGGCCAGGCCTTCCGTATCTTCACGCCCTTAAGCAGTGGCAGTTGATTTTGTGGTCACAGTATCAGTTCTGAAATAATACTTGTTATAGCTTGTTAAATCACAGGTGTGCTGCACCTCCCCACGTCACTCCGGTAAGTCTCTAGGCCAGGATTTGGAGGCTGTGCTTCTGTAATAAAATGAAGAATGTTAAAGAATCTTTTGCAAAATGTGGAATTCTTGTATGTGTAGGCCAGCTGTTTTCTCACAAGGCACAGATGTTCATCATCAGCCACTTTTTATTGGTCTTCCATTGTTTTCTCGTTCGTTGGATTTCTCTGTTGTTAAATTCAGAGTTACTAGAGTGTGTCAAAATGTCCAAGTTCAAAGTGAATACTTTCAGAACCTTTTGTGCAGAGAGCTGGAAAAATCTTATTGTTTCTTCTTATTATCATTTTATTATAATAAAGTTAGTAGCATGTGGGTTTTATTTCACTGCTGTTTTTGAAATGTATGTTGTCACTGCTAGAGTCAGCACAGAGAGGCTGCAGAATTACTCTGGGATGGCCTTGAGTGGCAGTGCTGTATTGTGCACAGCAAAACCAGTTTTTACATTTAATATTGTTGATGGGTGTGCTTTAAAATCTGTTATTTCTGAGTTTTGTAGAAATGAGGCCAAAATCTTAAATGTTAGTTTATAAATCCCTACTTGACACTGATGTTTTTTTCTTAAGGCATATTGTTATGTATTTGATTTATCTGTTTTTGCAGGATCAACTTGCAATCAGTGTTGATGCTTTAAGGGCTGAAAATGACCAAGTGAGACTCAGAGCCACATCACTCCATCATAGGTACCAGAAGTATTTCAATTTTTTCTGATTTCTTTAAAGTCACTATGCAAAATGTAATTTTGTCTGTTATATAGCTATAAAACCTATTTTTTATAGAGCACATACGACAGTTTTTACACAGTGAATTTTTTGGTTTCTTTCCCTCTTTTCCCTCCCTTTGTAAAGCTAAAATGTTTGTTCGTGTGTTCCAGCAGACCGGATTTCAGATTCCCTGTGACATCTTCCTCTGTGGGTGACACTCACACAGACTCCTTTGGCACCTCCTCTGTGCTGAGGCGTCCCCAGAAGGGACGTTTGGCAGCTCTCAGAGATGAACCTTCAAAGGTAACAGAACTCTGAAATGAAAACACAAATAAAACCGTGACAAAAAAATAGATTGCATAGGGCTAATCATTGCAAGGAGTTTTTAGAACTGTAGTACCTAGCAATAAAGTAGATTTTGTAGATCCTCTTTCACTAACTAATGCACAGCTACTGGTCTTTGTTAGCAAATAATTGCAAGATTATGGTTTTGAACTCAATTTTTTTTTTTTTAGTTTTGCTGAGCCTATAAAATATAATTTAAAACAGTCCTGCTTCTGTGTCTATAGACTATTCTAATGTATTACCTGTTACGCAAGCAATTTCAAGTCCCTTTCAGGAATGATTCCAAAATTTGCAAGGAATTGATAGCCAAATTCTACGGTAATTCAAAGTGTGTATAGCCAAGATATGTGACGTTTGAATTTATCAAATAAGCCTGTGCATTTTGCATCTTCCAGTGAAGCGAAATTTAAAAGTTTCTTGTATTATAGCTTTTTTTCTTTACATTTCTCTAAAAACTGCTGTCTTGATAAATGTATTCAGAATGTAAGTGGACTTAAAAAACTTATTTTCAACAACCTGAAAATCAACAGAAACATCATGTTTTTATCCATTAAGTTTGGATTTAATTTTTTTTTTCATGGATTCTTTTAGGTTCAAACTCTGAATGAGCAGGATTGGGAGCGAGCCCAGCAAGCAAGCGTGCTGGCAAATGTGGCACAAGCATTTGAGAGTGATGTTGATGTGTCTGATGTGGAGGATGACAGAGAGACGATATTCAGCTCAGCTGATCTGCTGTCACCAAGTGGTCAGGCTGATGCTCAGACTTTGGCCATAATGCTTCAGGAACAGTTGGATGCCATCAACAAAGAGATAAGGTATGGCCTGTCTGAGGGCTGTGATAAAAATCACTTGGAAAATGGTCATTTTGCACTGATCCTTCCTAATGCCCCACTCCTTCTGTTCGTATGGCCCTTATTTGAACGACACATTCCTTTAAAACTCTTTTATCCCTTAGGCTTATCCAAGAAGAGAAGGAGAACACGGAGCAGCGAGCGGAGGAGATTGAAAGCAGGGTGGGCAGTGGCAGCCTGGATGCCCACGGCCGGTTCCGCTCCATGAGCTCCATCCCTCCTTCCTATGCCAGCGGTTCCCTGGCTGGTTCCTCTCCCCCTGGCAGCGGCCGCTCCACCCCAAGGCGGATCCCACACAGCCCAGCTCGGGAAGTTCACAGGCTTGGGATCATGACACTGGTAAGTGCTCATTAACTCCAGGGTTTTTTTGGAAGAGCTTTTCCTTTCTCTAGGAAATGAATATATTAATGAATACTGACAATTCTATTTTCATGCATGTACAACGAACATTATATGTATATATTACATATTGATGTAATATTATGTTATTTTATTTACAGACATATAAAATACATACTCCGTGTACAATATACGTGTGCCTATTTTTGCAATCATCTACAGAAATCTTGTACAGTCAGAGGTGTTTTAACTGTAAAGGAAAGATAAGGACAATCCCACTGCACAGTCTAGTAACAACAGCCTAGTAAATCAGCTTTTATTCCCAGCCTCCTTTCTTTGTATGCCTGGAAACACATTTTACATAACGTTTAAAAAACAGGACATTTATGACAAATGGCATTAATCTCAAACTCCTTAAAGTGCAATTTCAGTGGCAGAGCTTAACATTTGCAGCATCACAAGTGACAAAATTTCATATGCTATTAATTCCTTAACATTCTCTACCCCACAGTCACAGATAATATTGATATATGGAAATCATTCAGCAGTCTGTTAAATTTAATGGTGGAAGGGGAATTCAGTGGACCTGGAAAACAACTTTAAAGATTTCCAATTGTGCAATAAATTAGGAAAATAGAGACTGTAAAAAGGGTATAACCCTTTCCTTTTCTTTTTTTTTTTTTCTCGGAAAACTTCTAACATTTTTCATGAAAATAATTAAAATTGACTGTAATTTACTATATGACATAATACAAACAGACAGAATATGGATAGAGATAAAACTTTACAAATGCAGGCTGAGAACCTCCACAGGATGCATTTTAAACTCATTCTAATGGCTTCCCATGTCCATCTCCGATATTAGGTAAGACAGACATACAGTCAGAAGCAAAAGAGCTGCAGAAGAAAAATAAAAAGTAAACTTGTGAGATGCAATAGAAAAAAGTCTATCTGTCCTCAGCTGTGGAGAATAAATTAGTGCAATTAGTGGGGAAATGCAAGAACTACCTGGAAAGATTCCACAGGTTTTTTTCAGAGGTCCTTTGAGAGGTACTGAAATTACTACAGAACATCTGGAAGAGTTACTGGTCACCCCGAAGGGAACAGCAGTGCCCTTTTCTCTCCAGCTGATCCTTGAGCTGCAGCATCTCCCTGACAATCCAGCACAGCCCCATTGACACCAGTGCTGGGGGTCCCTGGCCCCTTGGACCCTCCTGTGTCCCAGTGCAGACGTGGCGGATCCCTGGCCATGGGGACTCTCCAGTGCTGGTGTTGGGATCAAACCCACAGGCTGAGCACTGCGGGAAACAACTCCACCCTCTGCTCCCATTCTGTGCTTTGGAGCTCTGTATGATTATTACTCCAGAGGATTCTCACACAATTACAGCCTTCACAGCTGGCACTCTGTCTTCCTGTTTTAATAAAATATAGATAAGGCTGGACAGTTTTTTAAAAGCTAAATATAACTTATTGGAGCAGTTATACTGGCACTTTACATGACAGTTTTACTGCCATCTCAACAAGTGTCATTTTAACATAATATAATTTCTTCTCAAGTAGCATAGAATGGTTACAGATATATATTATGTAATCACAGAATAGCATTAATAAAGAGGCTTTTTCCAGCCTTTTGAGGGATTTCTCTTTCAAGCAGTGAAATCTCACCAGAGCTAAGCTAATCAATGTCAGCTTTAATGTGGAAAATATTTTTAATCAGTTGCTTTGATGCCAGGAAATGTAGGATGATTTTTCTTTTTTACCCTGAAGAAAGATTAGTTAGCAAAGCAGTTAGTCAGAGGTGTGGAGCTCTTGTACAAATATTGATGTTTTGGCTAACATCCTACGAACCTGGATGTGTATAGATGTCTTCTAGAGCCTTTTTTTAAATATTTCTCATTGTTCTCCAACATTCAAGAGATACTTGCCTGAAGAGTCTGCTCAGCCCAGTGTGCCCTCTTGGAACCCCCCACTGCCTCAGCGCGCCCTGGAGGAGGTGGATTCTCCTGTGTGCTGCTGAGCCGTCCCCTTCCATAAGTTTTATTGATGAATTTTAGCCACATCATCATTGGACCTAAACTAGGACTGATGAAAGAGCATCTACCCTTTGAGTGAAACTCAGTGTTTTGCTATGGTCGGTATGTTTATTTATGTGTATGGATGCTGGGAAGACCCAGGCCTGAATAGCATGGAATGGGCAATGCAGGATAATCCGGGTTTCAGGGAACAGCATTACTGAGTGAAAGAGAATAGCGTCAGTGAGGTTTGAGAACAAGCAAACACAGATTACTGCAAAGTTTCCTATTTTTGTCAGCTTTATTCCCCTCTTTCAGCAGCTCCCATCAATCTCAATACTCAGTGACAAACAGCTGGGGGATCAGATGGCATTCCATGAAAATGATACAGGCCACAGAAAGAATAAATGTTTTTCTATCTGTCTTTCTGTCAGTGGCCTTGGGAAAGACAAGTGCAGATAAATAACATTAAGCTCCACCAAGCAGCTGACTTCATCAGCACTTCTATCTGAGGAATATGAATTCCAGGAGATAATGCAGTTTGGGATAACCTCATTTAGTGCTCTGGGGTATTGAGGTGTGTGTGTTACTCACAGCAGCAGGACCTGGCCCCTTGCCTCTACCATCTACCAGGCTCTGTCCTTCCCGTTGGGGAACTGATGTTGGCCATACCACTTTGGAAGCTGGTTTAGCTTCTTACCAAAATTTGGATGGCCTCTGCATCTTAACATCACAGCAAGTGTGTTAAAGTAACTTGTGAAAATTGTCTGCGTGTGGACAGCAAAAGAGTTGTGTTCTAATTTACATGAATTTATGTCATGTGTGACATTCAGTAAACTAGATGACTGTTTCACCTAAGGCAAGGGTTAATTACACAACTAAAAGCAGTCCTTACTGTGGTAACCCAAGACCTCTCCAGAGATAAGACAAAAATTGAGTTTCAGAATTTGCAATTTGAGTAGGATTTTAAGAAGAATCAGCTACCGGAAAAGGTAAAAGGAAATTTCTGAGTAAAAACTTATGTTTTTTTGTCTATTAGACCAGTTTGCATAAAGAGTGACCTGAGCACTTTGCAGATGAAATGGTGGTTGGGGTGTCCCAGTCCTTCCACTCGGTATATGGATGTTTCTGTCTTTAAGGCCAAAATTCTGTGTGTGCTCTGCTGCTTTGTGCAGCATAACAGAATCTCAGTTTCTTGCTCTGAACCCCTGCGAGTCAGTGGGAATTAAACTTTACAAGTGAGAGAGGGTGAATTGTTCCTGTGGCCATTACTGATTCCAGTTAAGTGCTGCCAACAATACTTCATGGGTCTACAACAGTGAGCACAGTCCCTGTGGTGGCTGCCCTGTCACCCCCAGCCCTGCTCAGCACATGGGTCCCGGAGCACTTTGTGCTCTGGCACAGCTGCACACAGGGGGATGCTGAGCACAGTCCTGATGTTGGAACGGTGTCACCTCCCACAGCTGGGGGCTGGCAGAGCTCAGCTCCCTCAGCCCCAGGCACTGTGTGCATGTCTGGAGCTGTACCTTGGGCAGGTCCCAGCTGGTGATGGGCACTAGGGTGGTGGGGCATTTCTGAGCCCTGCCCAGATGCAGGATATCATGCCTTTCTCTGAAAACAGTGGTCTGGGCACAGGTATGGCCACAAAAAGCAAAGTCAGAATACCTCTCAATAAAGGAGGCAAAGTGGATTTTAAATCCTCCCTTCCAGCTCAGCACTGGTTCCTAAACCACTCTTCATCTTGAAATGGACAGGGAAACAGATGCCACTGCAGAAAGGCTGGGGAGTGTTGTCTCTAAATCCCTAAAGGGGATGCAGGTCCTTAATTTACATACACATAAACATACACACACATATTTTGCCAAAGAATATTAATAGTGGAGAGGCAAGAAATGCAAATTGCATTAAAATTATTTAGGTAACCAAGACCAGAGGTGCCTGTGATGATCTTCAAAGGGTACAAAAATATGGTGGAGTGAATGGATAAGATAACAAGCAAAATTCAGTTTTGACATATGCAAAGTAATTTGCACAGGGGAATTAATGAGAACAATTTATACCGCTGGCTAAGTTCTAAATTAACTGCAACAACCCAGAAAAAAAGGTCTTTGCATCACTGGGAAAGCTCAAAGACTCAACATGTAGCTGCTTTCTAAGGAGCAAGAATCATTAGAATGCAGAGGGAACAGGATAAAATAACACTGGAAGGGTTGGAAAGCTGTCAAATAAATCAGTGTTACACACTCACCTAAAATAATGTGTTCGGTTCAGGTCACTGTGTCTCAAAAAGGACATAGATGGAATAGCTGGATTTGGAGATGAGTTTTGAAAATGACTAAATGCTTGGAGAGAATCCCCAGGGTCTGCAGACCAGATGGCTTGGATTTATTTTTAGAGGAAGTCATTAAATGGGAGACCTGATAAAGATAAGAAGTAATGAGCAGTGTTGTGAAATCAAATTGTAGGTGTCTACACACTTTTATCATGGAGTAGAAAATAGGTCTGTCACTGAAGAAGGGTGGGAGGAAGTTCAGGAAAACAAAGCCAGGGTTGTAGTTTTCCACACTATTAGCTGGTGAGACTCATTGCTGTGAGTTCTCAATAAGGCCAAAACTTGCATGAGCTACAGGACATCAGGCGTTCTTGGGGATAACAGGAACCTCCAGACGTATTCTGATGAAGATTTAAAAACAAGCAAGACCAGTGCAACAGGTGAAGGTCTTTATGCCCCAAAGCTTGAGCTGGAATCTAGTTGGTGTTGAAGACACCCACAGCATAGGCAGTGACTGAAGGGCACCTGCTGTGGCCCTGTTCTGAGGGAGAGGGATGCAGGCTCAGCGAGCTTGGGCAGCCAGGGCTCCTCTGAAAATCCTGGGGGGCTCCAGGACAGGGCAGGCACTGGAACAGCACTGTGCTCAAGGACTGGTCCCACCTGGGGCTCGGACGGTGCAGAGGCACTGCCGGGCTCACCCCTGCAGGCAGGACCTT